TTCAAATTAACCATGTATAAGATCGATAAAAACTGCTACTTTGATATTGAGATTTTTTCTGTACCCATATATATCCTGATGTACTTACTGTATAATAATATTTGGCTGCAGTGATTTTAGAAACTCAACAAATACGGTAAATCTCTAGATTACACAATATCGTTATAGTAGTTTACGCAACGATTGCGTAAAGATAGTGTTAACAACACGAGTAGAAGATTTAAGGTACGAGCCTTAGCGAGTGCCTTAAAAACTTCTACGAGTGTCGTTAACACTATTTACGTGAGTTGTGTACACTACTTTACCTACGACGGTGTTTTAATTACTAAAATTCACTACTCATAACTTCAAGAGAGGTTATTTTTTTGTTTATAACCTCTCATTGCCACTGACAGTGATGCAACGAAACCACTAATTGCACCAATCAACAATTAAATTGGCCTGAACAGCTGATTAGTTGAATTTCGAATCATTACAATTTTGCTTCTCTTCTCTCAATCCTTGAACCTTAATAAGCTACTTAAACTACTACTTAATACTGTAGCTACTTTAAATAACGGCCGTAGGTAAAATCATTTTACCTACGACCGTTTATTAAAGTAGCCGTTTCAGTTCAGTGCTTAGAATTGAAAAGTTTATCATAACAGCATTGTTTACTTTCATAACAGCGTGGTTTTACTCATAACAATACGGGTAACGGACCAATGAGGTTCACGGTTTCAAACAGAAGAAGTAAAATTGTAATGATTCGAACTTCAAGTAATCAGCTGTTCAGACCAATTTAATTGTTGAGTGGTGCAAATTAGTCTTTGGTACGATGTTTCGTTGCATCACTGTCAGTGGCAATGAGAGGCTATAAACGAAAACATAACCTCTCTTAGAAGTTATGAGTAGTGATTTTTAGAAATTAAAACACTGTAAGTTAGTGAATGTTTATAGAACGTGTGTACTTGAATTGCAACTTTCATTTTAACAGCTATTGACTTGTCAGCCTTTAAATTACCTCAATGAGATCTTTCAAATGAGACATAACCTAAGAAAATCTGTCGAGAACTGAGAAGTACTGACGACAAATTTCGTGTTTGTCTATTTTACATATGGAAATAGATGGGTAGATAAATATAATTAATTTTTCTCAGAGCTATTTCCTATGCAATAACCTATACTGGAACTACTCAGCATTAGTGCTTTACTGCACGTGTAGCAGTAGAGGTATTTAGCAGTCAATCAATTATTTAGTTACTGTGCGGGCTCCACAAGTTGTAGCTTAACTCGATGACAGTGAGTCCATTATTGAGTCACCAGGTATTGATAGCTCAGCTATTTGCAGGTGATTGCCCTTGTGACATCCAACTTGACTCAACCCGAGTAGTCGAATTTGTCTAACTAATTGCACCATCTCTTGCCATATTGACTGGTAACTAATTCGCTTCGTCGTCTACCTCTAGCAATGAATCGATCGAAATATGTTATGAGATTAAAATAAACATCTTCCGATATTGATTGGAACGTGTAAGTAATGTGATTTAGCGACCACTTAAAAAGAGGATATGCCATTTAAATCAAAAAGAAAAATGTTAATCAAGCATAATCATCTTTTCAATAATAAAGTAAACTCTAGTTATCTCGTAAATCTAACACGGAATACGCGATACTATGCCATCAAAGATAGCCTTAGTTATGGAGACAAGATACATGCCCGATTCGTCAACACATTAAACTGTGTAAAAAATGACATTTGGTGCACCCTAGGGCCTGAAGTTTTTACATTTAAATACAGTAAAGTAAGGTTAGCTGCATAGTGAATTGCAATATGAATAAACACCGATTATGATTACGGTAGATAAATTATAACTAAAAGTGTTTTGTAGTTTTAATCAATGATTATAAAAATGGATGAATAACAATTTGCATATAAAGTATAAAATTACATTAACAAATAGTTTCTTCATTTAACTCATATTTTTCACTACTAAATATTTTACTAAAACTACACAGCGATGGATCCATACGTTTTTGTTATGTTAGAACTACGAAATTCAAAATATCTAGTGTTAATAACATGTGTAAATTTCTAGGGGAAATGTTACCTGAAGTTGGGTCAGTTTTGACAGGACCAGCAAGGTCTTTTGTATGAGGAGAAGTTATTAACTCCTGCATGATATAAAGAGCAAAAATGAAAGAAGCCCGGCTGAGAGTTGAATGTTGAATGTGAACCCAAACTACACGGTGTGCCAACATTGGGCCCGTCGCTGATGTTAGATGAGTATGTTAATTATGCATAGCTCATCAAGTCTCTGTCTACGCTTCTTTTCATTTATTTACTCCTTGACACATGACATTTTGTTAGGGACTTTTCACTCTTCCTCTCATTTTATCATTTTCTCCGTCAAATAGATACCAAGTTTGCATCGTTAGGACTAACACCAGTGAATCGTCGTAAGTTTCGGTAATTGTTGACAGTTAAACTACGGAAACTACTAAGTACTAGCGGCGTTGTTGTAAGCAGTTTGGCCACATTGGCCGCGCAACGCTGCAGGATCGTGCTTGCGTTGCGTTGAGCGATAACAAGGCTGGTCCGGTAACGTAAGTAACGTAAGCTTGCCCTTTGCTCTTTTCAAAATTCTTCAAGAGCATTTCACGTTGAACATAAAATTATTGCTTCTAACACGGTTTGAAAATCAAAATCATATTAATTAAAAATATGAAACATGGATAGTTTTTAACGAACTTGTAAAAATTATATTTTTCCTCATACTGCAGCAAAAACTGTCATTTTTAATGCATGCGTTGCGTGTAGGGAGTAAAAATAATTTTTAGTCTCTAGGGAGTAAAAATCTGCTGTTGTAAACAGTTGTAAATTTCGATTGTAGCAATCGTATGGATGGACATTATTTATCGATTGATTTATTAAGTACTGTAAGGTCTTAGCCGTCACATCGAGAGTATAATCATTGACTATTAGACTAGTCAAAGGTATAAAATGTACTGTAACACAATCGTAATAGACGATATGATTGAATCACTTACTAAACAGCTGCCACGAATACTGTGACAGCTGCTTATTTGCATTAGCAGAATCGAAAACAAGCTGGAAGTTGTTTTGAGAGGTTATCTTTACAAACAAATTATTTCGTTTTCTGGCTTAGTTTGTTAATTAATGATGCAATATGACGAAATTGTCCAAGTTTTAAGCGTAAGTTACGCATGGCCCGTCACACACACAGACATGTTACTGTCAATCAACTAAAACCTAACCTTATCATTCCATTTTTCTATACAGGGTGTCCATAAAAACGTTTCAGGACTTTGGGAAATGAATCCCCATACTAAAAGGAAGAAAAAAGTTTATGGGAAGGTATGTCCGAAAATGCATATTTACCTATACAATCCGCCATTTTGTTTTTTATACAAAAATATTTTTATCTGTGAAGTTTTTTATTCGATGATTATGAAATTTGGTAAACATATTAACGTTATATTTCAGTTATCTTTAGTCCGATCTTTTTGATCTTGGTATTGTTTGATAGGAAATTGAAAATGGTAAAAAAAGTGTCCTTGACATTTTTTCATAGATTTAGCCGTTTTTGAGTTATTTAAATTAGAAAAATTCAAACGGCCGCCATTTTGAAATTTACAATCTGAACAACTTTATTGTTTTTTTATATTATAGGTATTGTGTATCCTAACATGTTTACCAAATTTCATAACCATCGAATAAAAAACTTTACAGATAAAAATATTCTTGTATAAAAAACAAAATGGCGGATATCTGGGTAAATATGCATTTTCGGACATACCTTCCCATAAACTTTTTTCTTCCTTTTAGTTTGGGGATTCATTTCCCAAAGTCCTGAAACGTTTTTTATGGACACCCTGTATGTATAAAATGTCATATTTTTACTTCTATGAGATCTAAATATAAATATAACAATAAATTGAGGTAGCAAACACATTATTACTGGTGGTTTGTGGAGAAATAAAGTTCTGTCAACGTAGGTAATGAAAATGGTATGTATGATTCAATAAATTGTCTGAGTAGACAATTGGTTACCCTACAGTGTCAGCTTCAAATCTCAAGGTCCAGTTCTAGGTGGGGTCGTATCTGCATTCAAATGCTATTTGTGATTCAGCTATATTAATTATAATTACATCCCACATAGGGTTGGCGTTAGTTAGTAACAAGATCAAGTTTGGACTGTTCTCTAAAAAAAAAACAAAAAAACTACAAAATGAATTCAGAATTGATCTTATTGGCCTACATAGATTGGCTGAGATGATGCCGCAGCTCTGTAGTCAGCCCTAATCAATGTGGCGAGCCCAGCTGTGGATCGAATGGCAATTATTTATTATCACATTGCCGTGACAAATGAGCTTGTGAAAAAGGATTCTCTTTCTTCTGCCATTTCTGTGTTTTGGAACATCGCACTAATTAAGGGCCGCTACTATCCTTTCTCGTCTTTTGTTATTAAAAATACAATCAAATCAATTATATTTTGTAAAAATTGTTATCACTAACTTTAAAGGCTTACTATGTGATAATTAATTGTGTGTGTGATCATTTTAAAAGAACAAACACATAATTTTCACAATTTTTGAATTTTTTTTAATATTTTTTGTTAATTTAATTTGACCCAAGGTAAGGTCAACTTTAGGAAAAATATGCGAATACAATATATGTTATTTCATATTAAGGTACACCAGTATTAAATACTAAAATAGAGGTTTTATTATTAATTAATGTACACATGAAGGATTAGGTAGCGTGGATAATTTAAACCTAGACTTGATAATAAACTTTAACTGTGCATAAATGTTCATCTAAAATTATTTCCATCCCTACATCCTATTAATAAAATGCAAATTTATATTTATGTTGTTGTCTTATTGTACTTTTCACGAAAAGTGTATAGAAAAGGTGTTTGGCCTCTCATATAACCGTTTTGTCTCAATCAATATTTCACTTTCATCTATTCACGTTTACTTGTTGTATGTTACAGGAACAGAAACGGAAGCTGTTCCACACCTCAGTGTATGAGTCGGAGATACAACTCAAGAAGTTGTACATACAAACATGCAGACGGCTGCCGGCTCATGGCTGCAAAGTGTACCAGGTCAAGGAGCTGCTGCGTGGCAAGACTAAGAAAAAGGTAATACAGTAACTGCTAAACAATACATATGTCGTAGGGAGGCTTATACGGATGTTTTCTGTATGCTCTGCGCTCGGGCGGTCTTGTGAGGGTCGACCCTCGTATTTCACTAACCGCGAGGCGCAGTTAGTATGCACTCGAGCAGTGAAGTTATAGCAAAGAAACTTAATTTTGTATTATTGCGTCAGTTGATGCTTCCAGTTTCTAAGAAGAATGGAGGAAGCCCCTTTTTGTGTAGCATCTTAAGGAAGTTAAACCGTGCAGTATTGCAGTATTGTATTAAAGTAGACAAGAAGTGAAGAATTGTATTATATTGAGCTATAACTGTAACCTACAGCATTGATTTGAAGTAAGCCAGTTGGATCCAACTTAGTTAATACTAAAACAACAAGGGACTGTGTGCGCAAATTTCATAGAATAAAAAGCATTTAGTCAAAAGAAATTAGAGTAATAAATGAAAATAGTTAGGTACCACTCTTTAAATTGTTTTAGTTATGCCTAAGAGGAATCAGTTATCAATTAGCATGTCAAATATAATTAGCATTACTGAGACATATTGCTGCAATTAACATGTCATGACTGTTTGATTTGCTACATTGTCTGTATGCATAGAACACTGCCACACAGTTGTGCATTCATGAATAATAATACACGTACATAGACTATCAATTATTATTGTATACTTCATACTAGGTTGTGTGACAAAAATTGTGTTTTGATTTAATTGTAAAAGCCAAATGTATCTATACAGGGTGTCCTGGAACTCTACCAACTTTTTAAAATATTATTCCTAGACCATAGACGTAAGTCGAAATATCATATTCAACCTCTCAAAAATTCATAAGTTACTCGTAGCCACCATTTAGTTTTTTTACAAACACATTTTTTACTCAAGAACGGAAGAATGAAATTTGGTATATGGTCGTATTCATTAAGAACTAACTAAAGAACAAATATTATTTTTTTAGAGTGTTTGTTTTTAAAATGGCAGCCGATTAAAATTTTAAAACATAAATATCTCAAAAACTTCACATGAAAATCGTTTTAGCTAATTCTTTATAAATAAGGTAGAAAAATAATTTGTAAGAAAATTTAATCATGTCAATACCAATACTTTAGTATTATTTATAAAATAAATAAACAAAAACCTAAAAAAAGAAAACCATTTAAATATAAAAATAAAAAGTTTATTTACATGAGGTATGACAAGTAAATCTGTAAATTCAACACCTGTCGAAAGTGAAAAAGACCTGATCGGTAGAATTTTGGAGGCGACTGCAGTCATACAAGATAATGAAATTGAGAAGGTGTGCGGCAATCTATGACAGCACGGTTTACAATGTGCAATCAAGTTGGTGGTGGGCACATTGCACATCAATATTGTAAATACTGTAATATTGGTCAGCCCATAGATCATTCCAATTTTTTTTATTTAATCACTTGTGTATAGATATTATAGTCATACCTCATGTAAATAAATAAATTTTATATTTTGGTAATTTAATTTTTTTTTCTTTTTTAATTAGTTTATTATTTAAATAATACTAAAGCAGCTCACTAATAACCAATAAGCAACATACAGGAAATTATCACATTTTATGTTTTATATTTCAAACAGCTGATCAGTGTAAATAAGCATAAAACAGCTGATTGATGTGGCTCACTAGCAGTGGTTTTACCACAGTAGTATGTTTTCTGTGGTTTTACATTGTAACAGTTGGTGGTATTGACATGATCACATTAAAAATGGTACTTTTGGAAAATACGATTAAAACAGGGCAAAACCCTGTAGCACCTACCCCAAGCAATATTTATCACAAAATAGGCCTGTCCATATTGAGGATCATAATGTTGCCTCTTCATCCACTTTCTGCATGAGCCTTCTTTTTCTTCCAGCTTCTCTAGCCTACTTTATGATACTTTCAGCAGCACCTTTTCCTCAACATTTTCTTTTTTAAATGTCATGAGTATACTTCCTCCAATTTTGAAGTTAGGCGGACTGAAAACTAGCTGTCGCAATGTTTTGTTTTATTTTTTTCAAAAGGCTTACATTTGAATTACATATATGAATGTTATATCATTTTAAAGGGAATTAAAAGGAGAATATAACAATCAGCAGAAAACAAAATTTGTGTTAATAAAAAAAAAATTCGGTCTGCCACCCTTAAAACAAAATGTTAAGGATTTATTTAAACTTTTTTTGTAAATTTCTTAACATTTAATTTGACGCTTGTTGTAGTGTTTAGTCAATATTTTGTATTAAGTGGCATAACCTAAACGTCTACTCTTAGAAAATAACCTGGGAATAAAGGATAAAATATGTTTGTATATATGCAATATATTTTTTCATTAAGTAACTACTATGACAAGGCAGAAAAAAATATTGTTCGGAGGATATTTTAACCGTGTACTGTCCGTTGCTCCAAGGAAAAAGGTCCATATTATATAACCTAGCATAAATGATACCTATATTACTTACATCCTTCCAAAATTTAAACATTGAAACTTTCGAAGCCCATGGGGTGTAGCCCAAGGGAATTATGAAAATGAAATGATTTAATATTGCATTGTCATCCATTTGTGAGCTATGTTTCAAGTTTCAATTGTCTAGCTCATCGGGAAATCAGTTTAAAATCGATTGAAAAATTTGTACCGAACAGACAAGAAAGCGAGCTAATAAAACATTTTTCCTACAGTCACCCGACAAAGTTGGCTTCCTTGTACTGTTTATAGTACAGAAAGCTTCTAATTGCTGCATATTTATACTTTGCCGTACGGTTTATACTTTTCCGTACGGTTTATACTTTGCCGCACATCAGGATTCCAACGAAACAACACAAAACAGCGTGGTTCTATTATACACGTAATCCGTGTACGCTTGGAAATAGGTTGGCAACACTTTAAGATAAAAATACTATGAGCAGCTGATTGACTATTATAACTACGATTTAACTGTCATTTTGTGTTTATAGTTTCGGTATTTCTGAACTTTCTGGACTTTTCTTTAAAACGTTTTTAAAACATTCCTACTATCTTAATAAACAAGAAAATACCTTTAAAGCATTTTTTTAGCCACGGAAACCACTTCAAATTACAAAATCATACGGAACTATATTCTCAAAACGCGGAGCACAATTCTTGCCGAGGAAAAATAGCGGAGTGATACGGACCGCGGGTACTACTTTCTCTAGGGCACCATTTGTTTTGCCAGCTGAACCTCAAAACGTGTTGTATAGTGTTTGAAAGACTAATTAACTAATTATTTATATACTTTATAGGGACTGTAGGAAAAATATAATGTGTAACACGAGTGAAAAAGGCCTTTGCTGCACTCGAGATCATTCCGCACTCGCCTGCGGCTCGTGCGTAAACATTGCTCTCGTGTGCAGCAAAGTGCCACTTTCACCACTAGTTACACAAATAACTATTTCAAAACATCAACAAAAGCTAACAAAGATACTGTTTTTACACTAAAGATATGGTGTACTATCCTGAAACTTAGATAACTTTATTTTGAGTTTGTTTTATTACAATAATTTGTTTCACATTTGACCTTCTTATATGTCCCTACAAGCCACTAGTGAATCTAGAACTATAGAACAAAATGTATCTAGTTTTGTTTATACTTGTACATATGCTGACTGAGAGTTTATATTGATCAAGGTATCTGAACATTGTGAATGTCAGTAGTAATACTACCCTCATGTGCAATTCTGGTGTTATATTCTTGTGTAGTTCAACTCAAAATAACAAATGTTTCAATAACTCAAGTTTTGTTGTAGGCTGCTCGGCTGCTTGGCCTCGGACCCGATAAGATTGTTCTACTTGACAATAAGACCAAAATATTAGCAAAATCACAAAATACTTCAGATTTAATCCAGGTAAGTTGTTTACTTGTATGTATTCTCATTTGTATAGACTACAGACAAATGTTATTTTTTTATAGTTTTTCAAATTTATTAGCAACTAGCTGTGTGCCCGTTCTACGCACGGGGATCTTATAGTAGTCATTTGAATGTGACAAAAATCACACAATGTTGGATACGACATTTGTAATTTTATTTCTTAAGTAGGTAGGCCATGTATTCTATGGAAAAGTACCGGTATCAAGGATCGTCGTCGAAAAGGTTGTTATGAATAAATAGGTAGGCGTACACAATTTACACAATTTCAAAGTGCATACAGTATAAAATTTACATATTCTAGTTGTACTTTAATCTGGGACTGTGGCTTTGTCCTGTAATCCAGCTACTTGGAGATCGCAAATTGTGGATATTTATAGGCATGATCTGTGGATACAATACTTCCTGATGTAGATAAATGGCTGCACTAGTGAGATCCGCAGGAATATCCTGATAATTAGATCAATTTGTAAATTGCAAGGCAAAAATGCGGTTCGGATTTCACTATAAACTGTAGGTCCCTTAGTTGCCATTGGCTGTATGGACTATTAATTAACAGTCCTAACTAAGGAACATGTCAGCCTTAGTAAGTAACAAGACTACAAGATCGCACGACTCATCCTACACTTATCTCCATTCATACTTGGCTATTATATCTACCTTCATATGGTCACCATTTCAAAGTAAAGTATTAAAGTAACTACTTTATGTTGTAGTGGAGGACTGGTGGCGGTCGGTCCCATGACAGACTACAGTTGGAGTTCCGCGCGGCGAGGTGGAGCTTGGTGGTGTCTTCTGTTACCCACATGCGTCAAGTGGGCCTCGCTCTATGGGAGATTCTTCAGGGGCTCGACTGTACCTTCCTGGAGGAACACACCCTTCTCAGCCGTCTTCCAAACCAAGGTATGTTACTGGAACATGTGAAATCCAAATAATAAGATAGAATTTGATTATTTTTGTGATATTTCAAATCAGTTACAGTTTTTAAAAGAATTAAGTAAGAACATTAATTTTTAAATAAAATAAATTGCTTATTAAATTTGTAGGGCTAGAGGTGTTGAGCACCAGTACTACCATACCCATTCTTCGCATCAGGAAAAGAACGCTTAAGAGAAGAGAATAATTATGTTCTATAGAAGTGCTGTATACAAAAATTATTAACTCTTAAATAATGTCCACAGTTTTGATAAAGTACCAACAGAATCATTTTCAATCCCCTTGTTGTTCATAAGAAAAGCATAGAAACTTTGGAGGCATCAAGGCAGAGCCCCAGGAGAGTATTTATTAAGATAAGCAATTCAATTACCATGTCCATACAGGCCTATGATATATTGGCTCTATTCATGGAAAAAAATATCTCAATTGGTAAAGTATTTTACACGTGATTGACCATGTGAGATGCTCAAAAACTTCACATATATAATGTTAGTCTTCAATTATTGACTTGATAGGTAATGCACTAAAAATATTAAAACCCATTTTCAAAAACTGTTTTGTCCCTGGTTTACTATCTGACTCTAGTTAAACATTCAACTGTTAAATACTTTTCAATGAAATGGTGACCATACAAAGAAGGTATATTCAATCAGCTTCAATCAGTAAAACAAGTGAATTCATAAACTTCACTACTGGACGTTACAGAACTTTCTACCAATATTTAATTATTGTTTCTGGGTCAAAATCAAATATCATATAACTGAAGGATCCGCTGTTATAAAATTACATTACACATTTCAAACCGTCATCGAGAAAGTTAGTCAGTGTTATTGGATCTTTAATAGTTATTTCTAGGAATAAATAAAACAGTAGGAGGCAGAAGACACAAATGATATTACCTTTTAAGTCAGGAAAGCTATATCAACATTTTAACAATACCAAAAGGCCAATCAATTGAAAAGTGTTTACTTAATACATTATTGACAGAAATATTCATAAAATTTGGGGGATATTCTTCCTAAACGCCTTTTTTTAAATATCCGTGTTGTACTAAATTGTAGGATATTGTTTTGTTTTATATCACTATACTCATAGATTGTCTGATAGTTGCACAGTTACGGCCCTCACTCATATCTCCTTTAAGGAGTTTTTGCAAACACAAACAAAATACAAAAGAACCGTAGATGTGAGGCAAGAGTGAGGCTGTGTCTTGCAGATCTGGTGAAGCGCGTCGTGGTGCCACTGCAGGTGCTGCACTCGGCAGAGCTGGAGGAACTGCAGCGACTGTTACACTTCCCGGAGGAGGTGGCGTTGCGGCTAGCCGATACGGAGAATGAGCTGTTCTATGCGGTGCCGCCCATTGACTATCTGCGACAAGTCACACTGGACCTCGGTGGTACGCCCACGCAAGCCACAGACACACCCCGCGCATCTGTGCGCGCCCTTGTCAAGCGCTTTAACGAGGTAATATAAGATATTATAATGTTTGGTGCATGAATAAAAAAACTTTTAAAATGCTTTTTCATGATATTAAAAATGTAATAGCAGATTTATTTTTATTAATACTATTTTGTTTGTTTGAAAAATAATTAACAAATGTTAATTTTAAAAATCAAATTGGCATCCATTTACAATGTTTGCTGTTTTTATGTGCCTGTTTGGGTAATTGGAAGGAGGAAGACGGGGAGTTCCAATGTGTCTGAAGTTTAAACTGGTATAGTAGTTAGAACATTGTACTACTGTGTAGGAGGCCCAAATACTAATCCATCCCAATAATTGTGTAGGTGAGCTCGTGGGTGACGCATCTCATCATCTCTCAGCCAACTCATGAAGACCGCAAGTGTGTGTTGTCTTGCATCCTACGAGTGGCGCTCTGCTGCTGGAACATCGGCAACTTCAATGGAGCCATGGAGATTGTCGCTGGGTTGAAGTATGCCCTGTCACAATAATAATTTATAGAATATTATTTTGCTTACAATTGAAGCCTATAATGTGCAGTAGAATTTTTTTCTTGAAATAAAATCAGAGCCAGCCTTAGGCAAATGCAAAAGTTACGACCGCACTTGGTGCAAAATACCAACTTTTTTTATGTTTATGAATTTTACGTCAATTGTGAAAAGAGGAAATATAAATAGCAATATTACACAATGAGATTTTCTTAGCTAGTATTGTTGGGATACTACTTATTTTTATAGTAAGGGGCCCCACTTTGAATTTTTTGCACTGGGCCCCGCACCAGCCAAGGCCGACTCTGAATAAAAAATATGTTTTATGAGATCGACTTACTTAGACCTCACTAGATGAGAACCTGACTAGTTAGCCCCCCCACACACTATCGAACATTCCACCCGACCTGACGACTGACATGACGACGGACCCAACATCCAACCTGACATATGTTGGGTGTTTCCCACACACTGTCGAGCATGTTACCCAACAAGTCAGGTCAAATATTAGTTCTGAGATGGATTTTGAGACCACTGTAGCTGTTTGTGGGAGATTTTTTTGTTTCAAACGCAAAAAGAAGAAAAATAGGCGATGTTGGTCAAAACAGTGGTTGTTAGATCGAAACCAGTTTAGCCACATGACGCTCCTGGATGCAGCTCCTGGACGCACAAAATTAATGCAGCTTGTACAAAATAAAATGCTTAACTTGAATTGGAAAACCATGCAAACACAATTCTTAAAAACATTTGTTGAGACAGCTCAAGAATCCGCCTGTTATAAATACATCATCTCAAAGTAAGATTTTATGCACCTCATTATTCAACAAAAAGGTGGCCGTTTTCACTCATCTAGGTTCTTACATCTATGATTTCCCCCTAGAAATATTATCTATTTACAGAGTGATATTATGGACTAGAATTTAATATGGCGTTTAATAAAGACAAGCAGACGTGTGGTATAAAATCCCTACTGTGTAAGTTCATTAGCTGGTAATGCCGTTTAGCGCTGTTTTTGTTAAATACATTTTGTGTTGTAAATACAAACTTGACATTTTATTTGTAACTATTTATTTTCCGCCAAGTCTACTTAAATAAGAGGTTTTTAATTTTATAGAACATAAAATGTAGGAGCTACAAAAAAGGTATTGTAATAAAAACTACTTGTATATTGCTAATATATTATTAATATTGTATATTGTTAATAAAAAAATGTACTGCCAGTTAGACAGCCATAGTTGCAGTATTTACTGCTTTACTGTTTTTCGATTAAAATGTACTCACTATCAATTATTGTTCTACTACTACCATTTAATATACTGCATAACACTACATTCAATATTGGACACAACACTATATGGATATATAACACTAAATAGTTATATATTCAATGCTAATTCGTAATGAATCTCATTCCAAATTCTTTGGGAAATTACTACAAAACATATGATTTGGTCAAATAAAACACGTTCAGCTCGCACGTGACGCTAGACAAATAGCTGCATGAACTCGACAAATTTACGCCTCGCTATGCACACACCTTCTTTTATACGCCTTGATCCCAACCATGCTGGCTCTTTGGGTCCAGCTAGGTTATCAGTCAGAAGGCTCAGGCTGTGTTTGGGTTGGTTGCCAACTGTAGAAGAATAATTATTTGTTACATACAGTATGAAACTAGTAAGCTGGCACCATGACTCCACTGGTTGGTACCAAAAGTCTCCTTTAACTATTTCTTGATGGAATTTTAACTAAGTGAAATGTCAACTTTTTTATTACTTTACAAATTATCTATGTTTGACTACTTACATAGGCCTAAGTAAACCATTTTGTGTTGGTCCAAATTAAATCATTTGTAGAATGACTCATACGCTTATAGGATAACTCATAACACCTTAATAGCTACTTACGTAGGGCAGCCATATTTGATCACACTCAACTTAAAACTCCACCAGGCTGTGCTTGATTCAAAGGTAAGGTAACCCTACATACAACCTACTTAAACAACAGAGTTTTATGGAAGTGTGTAATGTGTATACAAATCTAGTACAACGTTAAATTGTCTTTCAATGAACATGCCGGAGGAGTCTTCTTCCAGAAACCTTCAAGGACTACCTTCTAGGACTTGAGATTGGGGCAGGGGTTTCTTTCGGCCTCCAGCCGACTTGAATGTTGTAGGCCGGCGGAAACTACTTGCCTCAGTGTTCATCTCTCTCATTGTGAAGATCGTCTTCTCATCTGGATGGTGATGATAGACAGACTCTATCCGTTAGTCCAAAGGTTTATTCATATAATAAATCCATACCATAAATTCCTCATTTGTCTCAAAAATGGGTTTTTTTTAGACTGTAAGTGTAATATTAAATATATTAATAATTGGTAATTGATCTTTTGTAACAAAATTTAGTTTAAACATTATGTAGTTTTAACGTGTGTAATAGTAAGTACAACACTAGGCTCATGCCAGTTAAAAATTTATATTTATTCAAAATATAAGCATAGCATAACTTTTATCTTCATATTATGTAACCTCGTAACTAATTTTAAGTTTGATGATGGATTTTTTTTAATAAGGTAGTATATTACGTTACTAGTACCGAAAGTGGCAATTTCCGGTGAGCGTTGAAGTTTCATTCATGTATGAGGCAATGGCAAAGCCGAACACAGGAACACCAAATTTCACATGAGAGGTGAAGCCGAGCATATGAGATTGAGTTTCACATATGCCTACAAGGCAAAGCCGAGAACTGGAATAATTTGAGCTATAGCCAGAAAATCACTTTCGGTACAAGTTATGAACAATAATTTTTAACACAACGCAAAAATACTCACATACAGGATAACAGACCTCACTAAAACCTTTTATACTCCCTATTTAGCATTATCTTATATATTAAAATGTAACAGGGTTTTTTTATTTCACGATTCTGAATCAACCACTTGACGGATTTTCATGATTTTTGTGTTGAAAGAAAGATAATTTGGAGAACTAGGGAATGTCGAAGCCATAATTTTAGTTTAGGGTTTCAGTTTTTTGGAAATTAAGTTTTAATTTTCAAAAAGTCTAGCAGCCGACGCTAACATTCTTCACAAGCTTTTGGTATAATACCATTTTGCTTAACGTAATAGCTGTAAACATTCAGTGGTTGTAAAACAAATTCTGCATTTGGATAAAAATGAAATGACATTCGCAGTGTTGACTTATTTATACTATGCGTAATGCTATAACTATTGATACGTTCATTTATTCGTTAAGGGGATGCCAGATTATTTATACTTAGTAAAATACTAGATGTTCTAATTTATTTTTTAGAGCAGACTCTAAAATTTTGGGTTTGTTTTTGTGCAATATAATTTGTTTCAAATGGATGGATATAAAATATTCTATAGAACTATGAGGTTATTTTATTTAGTCTATGATTTTGTCATTGATTATAGGAAACAAATAAGATTAGTAGATATGAGTAGACTTCTTCAAAGTCTACAGTTACCAACCTCCTACTTTTTGAAAATTATATCCTATCAGCCATGAAAAATGGTAGACAAATGGATGTCGCCTTCGTTGATTTTGCGAAAGCATTTGATAAAGTGGACCATGGTATACTCATTGCTAAACTCGAAGCCTATGGAGTTGTTGGGCCACTCCTTAACTGGATGTGGGACTACCTTACAGGACGCCGCCTGTGTGTTAAACTGCCTCACTCCAAGTCGCTAGAATTTGTCCAGACTTCAGGGGTCCCACAAGGCTCTCTACTTGGTCCATACTTATTCATTGCGTTCATCAATGACCTTGTCGATGTACTGAGGGTGGACACACTGCTCTTTGCCGATGACGTTAAGATCTTTACAGAGGTGTCAAGCTATGAGGATGCTATGCGCTTGCAGACTGGCCTTACATCCATTAATGAGTGGTGCATTTCCAACAACATGTCCCTGAATATTGCCAAGTGCTCAATCATGACATTCGGCAGATTACGAGAACCGTACCACTTTCAGTATGCGATAGATGGTCAGTTGTTGAAACGAGTCTCAGTGGTCAAAGATTTGGGTGTTACTTTTGTGGCGGATCTTACCTTCGACAACCACATTGACGATATATGTAGCAGAGCAAACCGGCTTCTGGGATTTCTCTTTCGATCGACCCGTGGACTGAGCAACACTTGGGCGCTTAGGACTCTGTTCTGCTCTCTTGTTCGCCAGCTGCTCGAATATGCCTGCCCAGTTTGGTCTCCTCATTTAATCGGCCAGATAAGCCAGCTTGAGAGCATCCAGAGGAAATTTTTGAGACTGGTTGGAGTTCGCCAGGGTCTACAGTATCGGGATGTGCCTGTGGCTCAAATGCAGGAAAACCTAAATCTCCATGATCTTCGGGCGAGGCGCTGTGCATCTGATATGGTCTTCCTCTCCAAGCTCGTAACCGGGTTGATTGATTGTCCTGCCTTGCTGTCTGAAGTGGACATTCGTGTTCCATCTGGTACAAGATCCCAGGATCTATTCGGAAGGAGGCACTATGCACGTGGATACCAGTACCATGGACCCCTTGCAAGGATGCTTCGAAATGGGAATGTCTTCTGTGCCACTTTCGACATCTTCACAGACAGCCAAAAGACAATCCGGAAGAGGGTACTGGCTGACTTCCACCGCTCATCATAGTACCACCCAAAATCACGGTTATTATATTTGTTTCAAACCAATGAATGTTTTCTCTCTTTTTACAAATCTTGTTTTCTTTGTTATTGTTGAAATTATATTTACTGTTATTGTTGAAATTCATATATTTATTGTTATTGTTAAAACTCATATATTTATTGTTATTGTTTAAACTCATATATTTATTGTTTGTTGTTCATTTATATTTTCACTTACTATTCTTGTTTTTTGTTCTTGTTCATTGGTTGTTGTTTAAAGTTTTGCTTTGTGAACGTCCATTTTGATACTGCTGAAATTGTATTATTTACTAAACTTACTGCATGTCATTTTGTCAAAAATACTTTTGTATGTATATGTTTAAGTTAGAATAAGTCATCTTATACAACATATTATTGTAAATTGGTTCTTGACCGTTGGAAGGTAAAATAAATAAAATAAAATAAAATAAAATAGACAACAGAGATAAGTAAGACGGGTCTGCGGAATTGGCTAACTCTGGAACTCGCTAACCCCATGTTAAACGCACTATCTTCAAAATTTGTTGATGAGAGGAACTCGCTAACTTGTTCGGTTTCTGAATTGGCTAACTCCGGAACCCGCTAACCCGCTTTAGAGCCAGGTTAGCGAATTCCGTCCTCGTACGGAAGTCGCTAACTCGGTCCCTCGGCGGAACTCGCTAACTCCCAATCAGAAGCCTCGCGGGCCGTCCAATGGGAGCCAAGCACGAATATTTTTGGCCAGTGTTGCCGAAAGTGTAGTACCTATATCGTATCGGTACCATAATGTCGAATCCTATGATTAATTAGGAGTAAGAGCAACGTAGTCGATAAAATAAATATATTTAGAAGTATGTTCAACATTTAATGATTATTAGGGTGGAAAATGCATTATAGTCTTACCATAGATTAACCAACACAAGTAAACTTTACATCCCATTGTAAACTTTGAAGCTCGTTTTTCGTGTCTCGTTCATGTCCGGTGACACTGACGCTAGTGTGGACAAAATTGTGTTTCTATTATTTTATAGTTAACTTCATGATTTGTTCTTAACTGTTTCATTATATAACTAGAGGACTTGTTATTAGTTGTGATTAAAACGTTTTATTTGGTTAAACGAGGTTTTATGACTGAAAACAAGAAACAATTGTAAACAAAACACGACCTCTAAAGACAATGCACTGGACAGAACTAACAATAAAACTGTCTTCAGCTGATCCAAGGATGAGAAATGTACTTATATAATGGAGTATGTTTTATATGTGGTTTTCTTACTTAAATAGTAGCTTATCGGTATCTACATTTAATTTGGATCTCTTACATGTTATGAAATATCTATTTTCGTAGTCCGCCATTTGTTTCTTTTATTTGAATAAATACCATTTTGTGAACTTCTGCAAATAAAATTATAGAGTTCGTATTTTATATACTGGGCTTGTAATCTTGAATCATAAATCATGATAAAATTTACACGTTAAACGTCATTACAGGAATACATTGTAGTGGTAATGTATTTTTAAATAGAGCTATTGAATTTAAATAAATATTGATCAATAAATTATAAAGTGGTAGGCCTAATGTATTCATGGATTGCATTAAAAATTAGTCTATGCGTAAATACAATAGTTATCTAATTCCAGCCTTGAATCTCTTTTTCAGCCTGCCTGCTTATCTGCTTTTGTACCATTATTTATTTGCATAATGTGTAAGTTTAGGTATCCTAAAACCTTGTACACTGTTTACTATTATTATTAGTTGACTGAACTTGACTTGTGCCTCTTCCAGCATGTATTTATATAATTTGACTGTGTCTCATGCATTTATATAATGTCTATAGACGAATAAATATCATTTCATTTCATTTCATTACAACTTGTAAATTTCTTTTATCTTAGTCTATTAGTGTAGAACCCGGGTCATCCTCTTAATTTGTTTTAATTAATATTAATTTTACGTCTTTCAGTAGGCCTACTTTTTAAAAGTCTGGAGTTTTTATGGTTCTAAATGGGCCCAGGCGTTTTTGTTTGTTACAATTCTTATGAATGGTGGCCATAGCTAAAATTACTTGATCTTATCCAAAAACAAAGCTATTGTCTATTGTGTAGCTCAGTACCGGGGAACGTGGAACCGAGCAATGGCTTGGTATAGTTTATTTCGATTGTGAAAGCAATATAAAGGAAACCCAACACTCAAATCAGGAAAATCCGTCAATTCGTTGATTAAGAATCGTGAATTAAAATAACCCTGTCACGTTTTATTATCTGAATATTATATCTTCTCCTATTATTTACTAGTGGTGCTTAGGTGTACAATCTAAAAACTGTTTTAAACATGTAACATTATTACTAAAAAATTCAACACATTTTAGAATTAGGCAACTATTTACTAGTAGGCCTACAATGCTTTGGTTTAAACTATTAGGCCTAGATTTAGACCTACAGCTATTCTATAAATTGATATGAAACTTAGTCTATGTCATATTTGTACACGTAAGTTGGACGGTTCAACGACGAACATTTAATTTTAAATCTATGAATTAGTTATGAAAGTTACGATGGTTGAAGACTGTATTAATTAATGGTTTTGGTTTATTACGACATTACGATTAAATTTGTTTTCCGTGTTTGAGAACTTGCGTGTATTTTAGCTTAATTTCGTAGAGGTTTAATTATTTAGTACCAATTAAATTGAATTTTCAATATTTTTCATATTCTATTATTTTCTTTTAACCCTACTTATGGCATTTATATTTAAGATCGAAATCATAAACATTTAACTGGCTATTGTACAGTTAAATAAAAAAAAAAAACTTTTTCATGATTTTTTTATTGTCTTTGAATTACTTTGGGCTAGTTATCTGTTAAAAGTGGAATTGATAACAAAAAACAAAAACATTTACTGTATCTTCATTGACACTGACATTTTGAAATACGGCAGTGTACGATTATTTTGTCGTACAAGGTTGGCAACGCTCCGTGCAGTGGGCGCGGCCGGGTTAGCGACTTCCAGAGTTAGCGAATTCCGCAGCGAGACAAAATCGAGTTAGCGGGTTCCGGAGTTAGCCAATTCCTGACTGAGACGGTTAGCCAGTTCCAGAGTTAGCCAGTTCCGACACACGACCGAGTTACCGAGTTCCTGAGTTAACCAATTCCTACGTCTCAGTAAGACCATTGCTTTATATACGAATCGAATGCTCTGCTCCGGAGAACTTTTTCAGGGGTTTCAAATTATCGGATTTAAAATGCATAACTAGCTGTTCTGAATTAAACACGATTTTAACTGGCTACTAGATTCCCGTACGTAGGACGGGCCAACAGCTTGTTTTACTATAAAAATAAAAGCAATAAAGTCATTGCTATTAGATGTTAAATTAGAAGGTTATATACATCATTCAGTAAACTACTGCTAAAAGAAACCAAAAGTTCAGAAAAACTACAAGCATATTTCGGTAAAAATGTCTATTGTTAAACAGTAAGACCAGCTGATTTCAATACTGTAATAAAAATAAATCGTAAACAAACACTGTTCCGATGCGATTAGCCAAAATTCCGCTAGCGCTTTGTAATCATGCCAGTAATTAGAAGTTTTTTGTTTTGTTTTTAATAAGTATCAAAGTTTCTTTTTCTTTCTTATTAAGCTGCAATATACAACGACTCACTCCCACGCACGGGTTCTCCCATGTGGGTTTAATTTCATATACTTATAAGATATTCAGTTATACTTCTATTGTAGTAATACATTATTTGTAAAAACTGCAAAAATAATTATTTTATATGGAATAAAAGAAATTTTGCACGCCGTTTTGTGGGTAAATAGAGAACTAATTGAGAGCAAATGTGAGTAAATTTAGAGCAAGGGAAAATGAGCTGATCGTTTTTCTCTTGCTGTAAGTTAGAGCTTGGGAAACAATTACTTTTCTTTGATGTCAGCTTTTATTGAAAATAGCCACTTTCTGTTTGGAGTGATGAAACAGATATTTCAACAAATTTCTTAAGTTTATTTTGTCTTACAAATTGTAGATTTTTTACCAAGTATTTGTAGCTAAGAAAAAAAAACTTAAATGTTTTGTATTAATTTGCAATAAATGTTTGTCCAATTTTTCTATGGAAATACTCCACAACCAATAAGCCTATACTTTCTTAATTTAGTTCATAGGGCTATGTTTAAAGTTGTAAAAATTACCAATTAAAACATATTGCAGGGAAATGTTTTGATGATTCGGTGATTATTTGAAAACCAATGTGACAGTGTTTTTAATGTTCTGTGGATATTTTCCCTTCCATCCCAGGTCCAACAAGCTGAAGCCGTTCTGGTTGTCAATTACTGAGAAAGAGCCTCTGCCAGTGCTGGAGTTCCTCTCCACGGCGCTCTTGTCTGTTGAGTACGATAGAGCGCTGAGTCGTGCGCTTGCCATGCCAGAGTGTAAAGTTGTGCCTTTCTTCGGAGCATTCCTTAGAGACCTAAGAGACATTCTGTCAACAACACCAAGCCTAGTTGTGCTGGCCCCGAGTGGCGAGCACACTCATTTAGAGGTGATTCATCATGTTTATAATATCTTTATTCAACTGAATTCAGCTATGGCTGCAAAGCATAAAATTAAGAAATCTATATTTTTCACCAATATTTAAAAGTGGAATTTAATTTTATTTATTTTTTACATTTTTAGGGCAGGGTATTTTTAGGGGTGGTTCTTGCTTTTGCAAACAGCAAAAATTCTTTAAAACTAGCCAATTTTCAAATATGAAAGTTCTTAGATTAATGAGGTAACAGCTCTTGACTCATCAATAAAGATTTAGATGTACAGCAACAAAAATGTGTTAAATAGGTACTGTTTTTTTTATTTTTTTTTTATTTATTTTTTTTTATTTCCATACAAAACAAATGGTGTAAGAAAGTTTATTTGATTTAGAACTGGTCTTAATTATTTTTCGGCTAGAACTGTCCAAAACGCATGAGAGTTTTATTGTTATTTCGTCAATAGAGTCCTCAATCAGAATGCAGCTATGACAGAAAATAACTCCTAGAGGTATATTATTTGATATATAATATATATTTTTATTGCAGTATTTTTAGGTAACCCTTCAAATGTATTTTTTACTAAGAGGATGCGTTTGTAAAAGAAAATGTATGGCAACTAATTCCCCTCTTCTTTTTTATCCAAACTAAACATATAGATACAAAAACCAAGAATGTTAAACATTACGTATGAATATTTTAAATATCATGTAAATTCTAAGTTTTAATTAATTTTTGCAGAAAATTATAATCAAATAATCATTACTTTGAATTTATTGTTCACTCGTCAGTATTGAATTGGTTGTGGTTTGGATATTTTCATTGTATCCTGTGTTTGTACTGTCAGAAAATACAGCTTCTTTCTTGGTTTTCTTGTACTAACTGCTATTATTATATTGACAACTCATTGTTGTATACAGTTTATATCGGATTACAATGGGGAGGACCATTACTTCACGAGGATTGGTCCTGGTGGTTTGATCAACTTGGACAAGATCTACCGTACACAGGCAGTCATGGACCGCATTGCAAGCTTCCATCAGCACTACCACCATCGAGAGAGAGATACAGAGACTTTCATTGATCAAATCAGGTGTGATTTCCCCCTGCGTATACCATTCCTCTCCCACCATACCACCTCTAAAGCATCAAACTGAGTCTTGATTGTGCAAGTTATTTGTTTAATGCTGTACAATGAGTACTTGGGTAATGGTGATAAACTCTGGTATTCACCCAATCAATTGGAAAGTTGCTCTGATTTACATTTCTGAAATAACTGTTGGTTTATCTAAAGTTATGGGTTTACTCAATCAAAAGGTTAATCAAATAAATATTTGTTTCTCTACATATGGTATTAAGGAGCTGTTTAGTAGCCTTCTTTTAGTTGATACTTTTGACCTTAAACCTTTGAATATTTTAAGGTACCAGAGTTTTTTCTTTAAATTTGTTGGTTAAAAATGGTAATTAAAATTGGCATACACTTTTCAGTATTCACACTTCCAGTATTGAAAGGTCATATCTTTTGGAAGAAAAAGAAGATGAAACAAGTGAGCAGGACACATACCAGCCGGTTCAACCTCTGAACAACGATCATGGCGTCAGTTTCTTCCCAATATCTGCCCCTCACAACAACATCAACCATCACACTTTGCAGGTAAGCATCACTCAAGATAACCTGACTGATATTATCCAACCAACACTCTAAAGAACTACCTAGTACGATGTATGATACCCAAATAAGTTAAGTGTTAATAAGGGTTAAGAAAAGGAAAATAGCATTTTACGTCATGAGAAATAATCAAACAACATTTTAGCGTTTTTAGCAGCTTAATCAGTCCTCAATTTGAGTTCTAATACTTTTAATGTTGATGGAAAGAATGACATTGCCAGTGAAATGATATGTTTGTGTATTAGCCAAGAAATAGTCTCTAACTATAGCTTTGGAGTTAAGTTTTTATTAAATAATATTTCCCATAGTAACTTTTTTCACCATAATCTACCTATATATTTTTAAATTTGCAAATACATTAATATAATACACTTACTTACTCTTACGCTACTCCCATGGCTAAGGATACCTGAAGTGGTGTTTGGCCTCATCGAAAAGTTGCCTCCTTACCTTCCTGTTTTCTGAATCATTTTGCCTTGCTCTTAATTTTCGTAAACCTTCTCTCTACCTGGTCCTTCCAGCGATTCTTGGATCTTCCTCGGGGGGTCTTCTTCCCATTGGGTTTTGCCTCACAAATATACTTACAGAATCAAATTAAAAAGTAGCCTATTCCAATTTTGTAAATGTACAGTGCTTAAAAATTGCAGTAAATTAAGTTAGTTTTTTTATATATATATTTGATTATACTTCTAAGTTATTAGTATGTTTTTTTCCTCATAGAGTTTAGTTTTACATTAAATGTGCTTGCTATATATTTTTACTGTATTCCCATTTTCTTGTTATCTTATTTGACGCACATACAATCTTCCTAGAAAACCGATTCCCTGCATTTATGCTTTGTTTTCTAGATAATGCACCATGGAACCACCATGGTCCACTGGGACGCGGAGGGAGGGTCCCGAGCTTCTCTAGTGTACCTGAGACTGGAGCGCAGTTGTGCCACTCTTACCTGGTCTAGACCCACGTGGAGCGGCCTCAAGACCAGTGGTGCCACCTCCACAGCTGACTACAGTCTCAGTACCAACCCTGAAGAGCTCATCGCCCCTGGACTGCTCAGTATGGGGGGTGAAGTAGCTTCCCCTGGGCTGGAGGAGGGCTTCCTGGAACTGTCTGCTGTTAAGGTAGTACACTACTTAGTCACTCACTGTTTTAATGTTATAGTATAGTAATGTAGTAATACCTCTCAAATAGTATTTATTACCCCCCCCCTCCCCTCAAATACCTTTGACTACTGATAAATTATATGAAATTCATCACTTTAGTTAAATTGAGCCATCAACATCAATGATCTGTTATATTATTAAAGTGTGTGGTCATCGTTTAACACATTATCTACCAACTATACTCATCCCTCAGTTGCATAGGAGTGTGACAGTCGGTAGGGAACGTCAAATAAATAAAAACATCAAATAAATAAAAATATAGGCATTTGACACATCGAAATAAAGCTTAGAGTGTGTAGATTTGCCAAAAAGCATTGGTATAAAATCGAAAGTATGGCAAACGTGAGTGGGAATGAATAAAGTGGAAATGAGCTATTTGCGTACTGTTTACAGGTGTGTAAATGTAATAATTTCCGTGCAGTGGCAGGAAAAAGATGGTGTATTCAACATAAATCGGTAATTTACATCAGTGTAATCTGTCAATGGTTCAATTCAACTACATCCATTTTAATTTAAAAACTGATAACAGCTTTAACATGGGAATGGAATGTCTAATAATTTTGTTCTATAGTCATTAACACCACTTGCTTCACTCAAACTTCAAATATTAGAAATAACTGTTGAAATAACGTGTTACATTTATTTACACTAGTGATTAACTATTGTGAGGCAAAGTAGTATTGTTGAAGATGGACTTAAGAGTCCTTAGCTCCAGTAAGCCTACAAATAAATTCTGAGTGGGTTGTGAAGGCCTACAGATGGTAATTTTTTTTTAGGAAATGCAATATTATTTTATATAAGCTCATGTTAAAGGTTGTATGATAAATATTATTCAGGAGATAACACTGGGTGCTCGAGACAAAGATAAGGACTTGGACCTGACCAACACACTAAGGCGTTTCAACATCAGCCATATCCCCATAGACAAGAGCTGTCTAGCTATAGTGTACGGAGCCAACCTCAGTGACAACCGAGTGCTTTTCCTGCTGTGTCCACCCTCCCTGTGCTGGTAAACACTTGATTTAAGTACTTAGTGAATGGGTATGTGTTTCAAGCTGAATATGAGTCTGATAATCTCTGTGGTTTGTTACTCACTAAGATCAGCTAAAAGGCCAATAACCCAGGAATGCTGAGTTCAGTTTTAAATCATCAAAAGCTACTGACCTTCCTCAAATCCTAATCCTCTGTAACTTAAACTTAAGGTTTGTGTTTTATCCATGTTTGTATAATGAGTGAGGGAGTGAGTACAGTTGTGATGATGTTGCAGGACATGGTATCACGGGTTGTGTTCTGTGGTGAGAGGATTGAAGAGGCAGTTGCAGCAAAGTGACAGGAGGATCATCTGGCTGAAGGAGCAATACTTGCAACTGTACTATGAGGAGGGCTGCTGTGGGCCTCTAACAGTGGACGCCATCAGGGTAAGTATCAACAACACCAGACCTTGGAGCCAGTCTGAGAGTCCATAGCCATAATTCCAGCCGTAGGAACGTATAGTATAACTCCAATCATCTTAATCAAACTCTGTACGTTATGTGCCAATAAACATGATTATGATTATGGTTAATTTGAAACATAACAAATTTGGATAAATACTTCATTTTTGGTGCTTCTTCCATTTTCAATTCATCTATATCTATAAAAGAAGAACTATGTATGTATGTATGTATATATATATATATATACTAGCTGACCCGGCGAACTTCGTATCGCCTAAGTTATAGGTTTCCCCATAGCAGACCGATGGAAAGAAAGTACCGTTACGTTTAATTTTCAAGATTATCTCGTTCGCATCGCTCAATCACGTCCTGGTTGAAGTTCGTTCGCTACGCTCACTCACCTTTGGGTTGGAGCTCGTTCGCTACGCTCACTCACCTTTTGGTTGCAAATTAGCTGTTGTCATAAATGTAAAAGAAATAATAGTGCTGCACCCTGTTGGTAATCCTTGTAACTTTAATGCTATTGAACATCATAGAACAGAACCAACTTGTTTAATTGAAACAGCTGTTAAGATTCATTAATTCCATTTCTCATAAGGTTAACATGGGAAACTCCAGAGCCACTGGGGCGGAGCCCTTTTAAGAATTTCGAAACGGGAAATAGTTTACGTCCGATTCGCATACCTACAGAATTTACACACCAAATTTCATAACGATCGGTGAAGTCGTTCCGGAGGAGTTTGCAGACAAACACTGTGACACGAGAATTTTATATATTAGATATATATGTATGTACCTTATGGTCTCTAAAACCTCTCAACAGGTTGTGATGCAACTTTCAGGAATTATTAAACATTATTCAAGGATGGTTTGTGTGAAGTTTGGTGTAGGTCCGTCAAAAGGGCTCCGCTCCAGAGGGTTTTGAGTGGGCCAATGTCAGACTTTTTGAACTACAATGTTTACAAATAAATATAACTAGCTGTTACCGGGCAACTGTTTTGTAGGTTTGAATAATCAATCACAACATGCTGTATTAGTCATGATTTGAAATAGTGCCACAATGTTTCCACAGAGTGCAGTACAAAAAACTATTTTACTTTTGGATAAGTCCCAATTTAGGCCTATTAAACCCCAATTGCAGCACACCTGTGCACTCAACAACATTTAAATTCTCCAATGTTAAATATGTAAACATAAAAACCTTTATCAAAGTGTTATAAACAATAAAAGGGATGGCAATGCCTTAATATTTTTTTTCTTTTGTGCTATACCCACACAATCTAACATAAATTATTAAGTGAATAATAATCGTGCGTGCTATCTCGGGTATTCAAATGCCTCTCAATTTGTCATTAACCCTCCACATTACTGTCATTAAAAGAAGGAACTCCAATAATACTAATGCGAAAATTAAATCCACTGAAGCTGTGCAACGTTACCATACTGACGATTAAAAAAATGACACAAAAATTGATTGAAGCAAAAATTATCAGTGGTAAGTTTAAAAGAGAAATAGTCTTAATCCCAAGAATACTAAATGATTTCATCCAAATTACCCTCTGAATTTAAGCAACTACAATTTCTTTTGTGTCTTGCTTTCACAATCATCATTATAAGGCCCTAGGGCAATCCCTGACTATCGTCGGTTTAAATTTAGAAAATGAATGCTTTTCACACATACAGCTGTCTGTGTGAAAAGCATTCATTTTCTAAATTTAAACGAAAAATTTAAATTTAAATTTTTTGGTGATAGGCGACGCCAGCGAACACATAACAAAATAGAAGCGCTACTCGGAGCGCAGGAGCGTGGCAGTCTTACTAGCCGGCGAAACGGACAAAGATGGCGGCGCTAGCCTACCTGTCGGGGAAATAAATATGTGCACTCGAGTTTGAGCCTAAATATCTCAGAGATGAATAATCCAATTTTGTTGAAACACAAATTAAATATAAGCTGGTTTAAATACATTTTACGTAATAGCAATAAAAAAAATCCGTTTACCAGAAAAATTTATATTGTTGAAAGATCCTAAAAAGTACCGGGTTTTAAGAAAATCTGCACTAACACTGAAGTTTAAAATTTAATTGTAAACAAACCACTGAGCCAATCGGCCTGCCAGTTGTGGGGTAAATTTTTGTTTACAAATATATATCTGTTCAAAAAACACCTTTGTTCGCATTATAAATCTGTCATATTGGTGTTATTTCTTGTGTCACGACAAACACGATGATATTTTGAACGAAATTTTTAGCGTCTTATGAACGATGTTAGCATACGATTTAAAAATAAACATCAGCATACAAACTATCGTGAGTAAAAATTTTAAAATGCATGGAACTGTTAACAATAAATCTACCAATAAGCCATACAAATTTCAGAAAGATTGGCTCAGTAGTTTGTTTACAATTAAGTTTTAAACTTCAGTGTTAGTGCAGAGTTTCTTAAAAACCGGTACTTTTTAGAATCTTTCAACTATAAAAATTTTTTTGGTAAACGGATTTTTTTAAATTGTTACCACGTAAAATGTATTTAAACCAGTTTATATTTAATTTTTGTCTCAACAAAATCGGATAATTAATCTCAAGAGATATTTAGGCTCAAACTCAAGCACATATTTATTTCCCCAACAGTAGTCCCGGCGTGTGCAGCACGCTGGTCGCAGGGCTAGAGATATAGCTCTGCGCTAGTCGTCTGCTATGCTTGATGAGAATAATGTAGATATAAAGTTAATGATATTAGTGTAAAGGAAAACAATGTAATTGAGGACTTGACGAACAAAGTACTTGGACAATGTGTAGGAGTAAATTTGTTTCCAAATAGTACAAATTTCTCAGGATATGAAACAATATGGACACAAATAATTTTTGTTTAGTACCTAATTAAAATTATTGCTCAAAAATATTTCAATGTTAGAGTTCGCTACTACTGTAAAATATTTAACGAAAGTCTTCACAAAAATAATATCAGGCAACATCTCAATAAAACTGTAATTTTTCTGGGACAATAAATTGAGTGTAGGTAATTTTACAAATATAATTGGGAAGTTTAATTTAACTTACAGAATTATCTTATAGTTTATCTTGGATGATACTGAAAGCTAATTAGTCCTTAAAAAGTTGTGCTAAACGGTTAAAAATTCTTCATAGGCAATATATTTGAAAATTTCTTTGAATATATTTGAAAATGTATAGACGACGGCCCGGCGGCGCAGCGGGCGTGGCGCGGAGCAGCGGCAATGGATCCCTTTTGTACCTGATTTTTTTAGAAAACCGAACACGATAAAAATTTTTGGTGAATCGGATAGTTAAATTTGGTTATTTATCCACAACTTTCCCGCTGACGAAATTTTTCTGACCAAAAAATAAAAAAATTCCTCGCAATACAACTTTTTCATGTCTGAATCTGAAAAATTAAACTACATAAGTATTAAACATATTTATAACTAAATTACTATCATAACTAATAATTTTATATTAACACCATCGTTTTCCTCAGTATTATATCTACAAGTGTGCAAAATTTCAGAATTTTTTGTCAACTATTAATGTTGTTTATGATCGTGTATTTGTCGCGGGGTTTTTAATTCGAACTGAGCTCGCGGGTCTTGGATTCAGGCTGTATGACGGACCAAAATGGCGGATTTGGCCACACTTTCAGTGCATTTGGTTAAACGCCGTGTCCTCTCTATTATTATTATTATTATGTGCTCGCTGGGCGACGCCTAAAATTTATACACCTAATGAAAAAACAAAAACCATTGTTTATCCACTGGCAAAATAAAATATTCTATTTTTATTTTTGGTATACAATTTTATTATTCATCCTAAAGAACAAATTACCATTTAAAATAATAGTTGTTAAGCGCAGCAACCCGCGTCGGGTAACTGCTAGTAGCAAATAAAAAAAGAACATTTTTACAGATTATATTGCACATTTTAGTGATTTATATAAGTTATTTAATAGAGAAGTGCAAGCCGTTCGATTTGTGAACGGAGCTGAGTCTTGCCTAAAAGCTCGAGTGAACAAGTACTAAATAAAAAATCAAGCTTGAGCTGAGCTTCAACAATTTTGTAATATTATCGTGATTGCAGAACGTGTCTGTGAAGATTTTGAAAAAAATGAAATGAAATGAAATGAAATGAAAATTAAATGAAATGAAATGAAAATTGATTTTATGTTACAATTGAAAAATTCACGCTTTTATTGCGATTGTGGAAGACGATGGTGATGTTTTTGTGATTGCAGGTGATAATCTAATTTATTTATATACTGCATAAACCAGTTAACAGTTGTTGTTGATAACTTTATTTAGTACAAGCACTGGTATTGTAAAAATGCTTATATTAAATTTTTTTAATCATTAAAACAATTATGTCTTTCTTTGACTACGAGAGACGATAATGATATCTTCAATAGTGCAAAAGATGTTCAAGATTTTGCCGGGATCTTAGAAGACAAAAATTATGTCCACTTGATCATGGAAGATTTGAAATATTTTGCCACAATCTCAGAAGATTATGATGATGTCTACAAGACCATAGGAGATATCATGGAAGATGATTATGATGTTTCAGTTAAGGTGGAAAACGATGATGGTGTCCACACAACTGCAGGCAATGTTCAGGATTTTGCTATAATCACGGCTTCTGCTTTCTTTCATACCGTAACAATTCTTATTAGGTACTGTAGTTTTAGGTTTTTAAAATTTTCTGATAGTAATTCCGATGATCTGGGGTTCGAAAAGTTGGAGTTGTTGTACCATTTTACTCACTCAGATGATTACGACCTCTAGGCAGTTATTGTTGGAGTTATTACAAATAAAAATTATTAGAGCATCCATTCCAATATAATAGTTTATTTACCAAAATTGTAATACTCATACCTCCACATTTTCAAATAACTCTAAACAATGAATTAAGAAGTTAATAACATGTATCTAAGTCATTAAGTAAAATAATTGTTAAAAAAAATATTTTATTTGATTATTTTAAAAGTTTAAATACTATGGTATTGTTAATTAACGAATGACTTTCATTACTTTATAGTATTTTTATGATCATTCCTCTGGCTGTGACAGGTGTTTGGAGGTAGAGACTGGTCTGACCCTAACAAGATCACTGGAATGTCACCACCAGACAATGGGACCTGCAAACGAGGGCCCTCTGTCAAGTTTAAGAAGAAAAGATCCATTGGGAACATTCAAACTCTTAAGGTTATAAAACAATTTTGTACTTGAATAATATAGTTATACATACTAAAATACAGTCATTACTTTACTAATCAATCATACTGTTAATACTGTTCGATGAAATGGCGACCATACATAGTAGGTATTTTAATCCAAGTATGAATAAAATTATCAATCAACTATCCATACTTCTAGACAGCTACTTCTTGGTTGAGTATTTTAAGCTGAATTTGAAATTTTACTTGAATGATTTTGTTATGTTGACATTGAAAGCAGTTATCTTTAAATTATTCATGCAGAATAGTTCTTTGAGTATGGGTTGGTTTCAATATAATTTTACACATTTAAAATCTTCTATAATGTCATACGAGCTGATATGCCAGTGCTTTACAACGAAAACTCAGAAGAGAATATTTCTGTTCTTAGGTTCTATTGCATACAATAGTTACTCGCCTATTATTCATTCTAGAGTAAAATTGTATTATTCCACTTAGTGAACAAAAATATTTTTTTTATCTATACTATAATGAAAACAAAACAATCCTGAAATATAACAGACAATAGATTTGTGGAACCTTTGGTTTTGTAACATCTTGTATTTAACTATTTGTTTATTGTGTTACCCATTGTAAGTTTGTATAACTTTCCTGATTGTCTACACAGCAAGACCTGGCGTGTAGCAAGATGGCAGAGTTTGGGGAGCTTGTAGGAGGTGGTACACTAAGGCGGGGGGGGCCAAGTCCCGGTGCCCCGCCCAGCCGTAGCCGCAGCATCTCCAGTGAGATGGAAGTTCCCCGCATCACCATGCTGGCCCAGAGCCCACACGGGTCATCTGACCACATAGACACCTCTAGTCCCACACACCTTGCCAGGTAAAAACGGCAACAAATTACTAAAAAGTGAGATTTCCACATACACTACCACTGACACTCCAAACTAGGTCTTCTTGGTACGATTACATCACAGACCGAAACCTATTGCTCTGTTCTGACCTTTAATTTTAGACAGCCATCCTAATTAAGAGCACTCCCCCGAAAAGGTGGGAAAAAAAGCTTGGCATATTAGTTTCTGAGGATACCTGTCTGCAAAGAGGGTAAAACAACAGCACTTAGCAATAAGTTTCTGTCTGTGACACAATCTTACCCAGAAGACCTCAAATCAAATCAAATCAACTTTATTCCATGGACACAAATTGTATATATTGAAAAATACAATAGTGTATAGGCTGTGTCAACAATATAACTTAAGACTTATCTAAGATTGAGGCAAAGTAATCTTCTAGTTTATAAAAACAATTTTTTAGTAGAATTCTCGTGATGGCTCCTTTAAAAACATTTAATGATAACTAACTCTTTAACTCTAACTGGTAACTTGTACAATTTGGTAGCGGTATATTTAAAGCTAGCTTGAGTGGTGGCATAAAGTCATTGATATATTCTTATATTATTACAGTTTTTTGTCATAGTTGTGCACATCCTTATTACAAAGCAAAATATCACAGTTATTTTTAATATGGTATAATAGACATTGAAAGATATAAATACAGGCTAAGGGCATCACAGACAATTTCTTAAAGATATGCTTATAATGACCTAGATTGTAGTGGTAATAAATGTTATACACAATAAAGAGTTATCACTCTTATAGTACATATTTTCTGTAGACAGGGTGTTTCACGGGAACCTTGACAAACTTTGAGATATGTTTCCTTGGATAAAAACTAGAAAAAATGTCCTGTTAGCATAGTTTCTAAACTTACTCGTTTTCTATTTATATGTAAAATTTGTTTTCTTTTGGTTTACAATGTATCTGTTGAACATTTTTACCTCACCTGATTAAAAAATTGACAAGATATTTTGATAAACAAAAAAATAAAAATGATGCTTATAGGACATTTTTTCTAGTTTTGATCCAAGGAACCATATTTCCTTAAATTTGGTCATAGCTCCCTTGAAACACCCTATATATATGTACGGCACCGACTCTGAAAGGATAGCCCCCTATAATTATAGCAGTGTGGATTTCTCTTAAAAGAATCACTGAATAGAAAAAGGCTGGTTCTTTAGTACATAAAAAATGCGACCAAACCTCATAGGGGATAAACAAACATTACCTACTTTGGCAAAAACATATTTTTTCACAAACAAAAGGGGAGAGGTTCATTTGTCCGAGATTTCAGTTATCCAAGTTTGTTAAAAATTAAAAAAATATTAGAAAAATCAGTCGTCTGAGTTTTCATTTGTCTGAGGTTTTAAATTATTTTAAACAAATTTTGAAATATCAACTGTCCAAGTATTGTCAGCATCAAAAGTGACACTGGCGTGGAGACTAGCGTCTCAGGGTCCTTGTCAGAAACCGATGAGAATTTCTTCTGCGAAGGAGTGGGGGATTATAGGAGAGCCCCTCACGTCAACTTAAAAAAAAACTATAAAATTAACTTTATAATTTTTTAATTATAAAATTTAATTTTTAATTTTAAAAATTAAACTGTCATAACCTAACCTAATTAACCAAACTTGCTGATAATATAAAAAATATATAAGATAAAAATTGAATGAAGGTTTACTAATAAATAAATAAATAGTCCTGTTCATAAAATAAAATTATAAATGCTTCAAATTCTAACAAAAGCTGACAGTTAAGAAGTAATCGCATTCCAAGCAAAATATTTGGCAAAAAGTTAATGTCACCGGTGAGATTGTATCATGGACATCAGTCAAGTATGCTAACCACTACGCCACGACACCTCATATCGTTTCTTATCGTTGCGGTAATCGTGTTCCCTCAAGAGAAGAGTGACGTCACGTCCTCCACTCCTTCACTAAATAGGTTCTCATCGGTTTCTTACCAGGACCCTGAGACGTTAGTCTCGGCGGCAGTGTCACTTTTGATGCTGACGATACTCGGACAGTTGTTATTTCAACATTTTTTTAAATACTTTAAAACCTCGGATAAATGAATGCTTGGACAGTTGATTTATCCAAAGATTATTATTATTTAATATTTACACCAACCTCGTACAAATGAAAACTCGGACAACTGATATTTTAATATAATTTAATAATCTCGGACAAATTAAAACTCGAACAGTTGATTTATTTAAATATTATTAGTTATTTATCAAACCTTGGACAAATGAACCTCGGACATCTGGTTTTCCTAATATTTTGTTATTTTTAACACTCTGAGTGTGGCATTCAAACAGGCGCTTCCCAATGACTGCTAGGCCTGGGCAAAGCTCCGGCGCGGTACCGTAACAGCGAACGCAATTGGCATTCAAATATTTCAGTGTGACAAATAACAAAAGAGCAGCGGTGATTGTACTACGTTACCCCAAGATTGGACGTAGTTCCCTGAAACACCCAAAGGTAGCAGCACTGCCTGGATCAGTAGTCAGTGGCTTTGTAATGTGGCTTGAAGAGAGAAAATCTCCATTGTCAGACGGGATTTTTCGGACCTACACCAAAATAAAGCTCACATTCTAAGCTACAGACTAGCAACAATTATAATGTTCCCCGGCAATAGCTGAGCTCATACTGAGCTAATGTAGTGGGGGTTGCGCAACTACATCAATTGATGTAGGCCGATAGGAGCGCTCGTGGCGCAACTACATCAATTGATGTAGTCAGCACTCTACGTGTTAACAAACTTGGACAACTGAAAACTCGGACAAATTATGTGATCCCTAAAAAAGATTTCAACAAATTTTGATGACGCCATGGATGCTTCGTCACCATTGATGCGTGTCACCTACCGTGCCAATTCGCTGGCTTTGCCACCCTGCTTTGGCAGCTGCATGTTACGCATGGTCCTTAATTGCGCCGGCCCTGTATAAGTACCAGTAGATATAGACAACACAATGTCATACCTAAAATAGAAGTAAAAAAAAAATGTTTTAATAAATCCTATTAACTCAATGGCATCACCAAATACTACCACCAATTCCTGTTGGTTTGTAGATATAAATCTAAAATGACCCGTTAAAAAGATTGGCTAATCTTATATTTAAGAATTTTTTAACCCTCCGAGTGTCCATAGTTTAGGCCTTAATGTCCGCCTATTTTTGGCGCATTTGCAAGGTTTTATTAAAACGGATCTGAGAAGCTTAAAACAATGTTAATTCTACTGTTCTATATACCATTTTGTTTGGAAAATCATGGGCTTCAGTATTATACATAAAACACAAGGAACATTTGTTTCAACAAAATTTTTTAAGTAAAAAAAAAAATATTTTGGAAAATTTTCAAAAAAAAAATTAGTTTGCGCTCAATGAAATTGTATAAATTATAGGCCTATAAATATTTGAAAATAGCCACTTTGTTCTAAATTTTATGAGGATTACAAATATATAATAACTAGCTGTAACCCGCGGGCTTTGCCCCGTTTAACTTCTTAATTTTCAAGATTATCTTGTTTGCATGGCTCAATCACGTCCTGGTTGAAGTTTGTTCGCTACGCTCACTAACCTTTAGGTTAGAGCTCGTTCGCTACGCTCACTCACCTTTAGGTTAGAGCTCGTTCGCTACGCTCACTCACCTTTAGGTTGGACTAACCATAGCTAGGAATCTGGCTGATAATTTACATCAATATCACTACCTACTTCTTCAGGATCATCAACCAGCCCTTCAAAATCACTTAAATATTCTTATAATGCACCACGTATATCACTACTTTTGATTTTTAACACTAAAACAATTATAAACGTAATTAAACACATCAGTCATCGGTCCGAGGTTAACCTAGCTGTTTACAAATACGCACGTCAGCTGTCTGCTACAATATTTTTGGAACTAAAATGAATAGCGCTTGGAGACAGACCTCCGGAGAAAGCTCTGAATCTAACAAAAAGAACGATACCATAGATAAAACATACTCCCTTAGTAGATTTCTCATCCTTATGGAACAGCTGAAGCCAATTTTATTGTTAGTTCTGTCCGGTTTTCTGTAGAGTTCGTGTTTTGTTTACAATTTGTTTCCCGTTATTACAGCCATTTAAAACCTCGTTTAACCAAATAATACGATCTAATCATAAACAATAACTTGTCCCCTAGTTATATAACCAAACAGTAAAGCACAAATCAAGAAATTAACCCTAAAATAATGGAAACAAAGTTTCATCGACACTAGCGCCTTTGTGTCACGTACATGAACGAGACACGAAAAACGTGCTTCAAAATTTACAATGGGATGAGAAGTCTACTTGTGTTAGTTAGTCTATGACGATACCTAACTCGATCCAGTTCAATCCGATTCAGTCAGTCATAGAGCCTTCGCAGTAAACGATGTTCGTGTGTCGAAAAATCGACAAGTGACACTACACAAAGTGTGTCGTGAGTCGATTTTTCGACAAGTGACGCTCGAAGGGTTAATAGTTCCATTAATTAAAATTACTATCTATAATATTAAAACGTGACAGGGTTTTTTTATTTCACGATTCTAAATCAACCACTTGACGGATTTTTAGGATTTTTGTGTTGAAAGAAAGATAATTTTGAAAACTAGGGAATGTCGAAGCCATAATTTTAGTTTAGGGTCCCAGTTATTTAGAAATTAAGTTTTAATTTTTTTTAAGTCTAGCAGCCGACGCTAACATTCTAAACTAGCTTTTGGTATAAAATAATTTGCTTAACATAACAGCTGTAAACATTAAGCATGTGTGACACAAATTCAGCATTTGGATAATAATGGCACACATAGGGTTGACTTATTAATACTATGTGTAATGCTATACTCATTGATACGTTCATTTAATCGGTTAGAGGATGAAAGATTATTTAAATATACATGGTAAAATGCAGGATGTTCTAATTAATTTTTTGAGCAGTATTTAAAATTTTAAGTTTGTTTTAGTGCAATATAATTTGTTTTAACTAACAGCTGGTTGAATATAAAAAATATTTTATACAACTATCAGGTTAGTTTATTGTTCTATGATTTTGCCATTGATTATAGGAAATAAATAGGATTCTATAGCCACTGTTGTATACAAATATGCCCCGAATCTTCAGAGGAAAGATTATGCAAATTATTTTTGTCCTACTTTTTGAGAAATGAATAGGAAAATAACAATATTCACATGTTTTAATTAATCTTGGTAGCTTTTTGCTTACAAAAATGTTTAACCGCTTAAACTCTGCTTGGATAAGAAATGGAAATATTTACATAACTTCAGTTTTAGTTAACTACTCAATTCCTGTACGTAGGACGGGCCAACAGCTCGTTAATAATTTATTTTACAATTACATTTTTATTTCTAATCTTTGTTCAATGTTATACTTTTGTATTGTACCTAGTTAAATTCATTCATTTGATATTATATATTTGACATTTATTATTATTTTATTTATTGGATAGAAAAATGTTCATTTTTTTATGTGCTAAATGTTGTTAAAGACTCATAGATATTCATTTTAGAAAGCAAAAAATTTTGTCAACCAAATAGACGGTTGTTATCAACCATTGTTTCAAAGTGTTATGTTTTTGGATGTACATATTACCTTAATTATCGTTGAAAAAACACTTATTCATTCCATGGTGTACCTCAAGGGTCAATATTGGGCCCTCTGTTTTTCCTGATCTTTATTAATGAATGACCTTCCAAAAGCTATTGGCAGAGATTTAATCTTATTTGCTGATGATACAACAGCAATCATAAGAGAGGATTCAGTAAATAACTTAATTGTATCAATAGAAAACACTTTGGATTGTATGAAAAATTGGTTTACAGATAATGGTTTAAAGCTGAATATTGACAAAACTCATATAATTAAATTTTCTTTAAAAAAACAATGTAATTCTTGATAGAATTCCAAATTTAGTAGAATCTCATAGATTTTTGGGTGTATTGCTTGATACTCATATTAATTGGAAGATTCACATAGATAAGATGAAAGGCAAACTAAGATCTATTTCTTTTGCTTTCTTTCACCTGATAAACTGTGTACCTCAGGATACATGTATCACAGTTTACTATGGATACGTTGAATCCATCTTGAGGTATGGAATCATACTGTGGGGAGTGTCAACAGAAGTCAAATCCCTACTAATTTTACAGAAAAAAATTATTAGAATCTTAACCAAATCAAGAAGGAGAAAATCATGTAAAAACCTGTTTAAAAATCTTAGAATTCACACCATTTTTGGATTATACATAAATGAAATTCTAAATTGGATACATAACACTAAGGAAAATTTGTCAGATGTAGTCAAATTTACACATAATTATAATACAAGGAATAAATATAATTTCAGATTACCACATCACAAATTGACGACTTTTAGGAACAGCCCTCAATATATGGGACTTAGATTGTACAATGAATTACCCCTGTATCTTAAAAATTTAAATGCTACTCAATTCAAAGATAAAATAAAAGATAAAATAATTGAGAAAGCCTACTATTCACTTGACAAATTTTTGGAGAACCCTATAATGTAGATAAAAATTCTCTGATATCCTACATGAGTTTATTTTTATTATTTTAACTATTAATTTTACTATAAAATACATCACTATGACGAAACACCTGTTCTTATGTATGAAATATACTTTATAAAGAACGTATTGTGTAAATAAAATATGTCTTATGTCTTATGTCTATGTCATTTCATTATATATTTGACAACTAGCAGAGTACCCGTCCTTCGTACGGGGTTGGAATATAAGTATAAAATGCTTATTGCAGTTATACTCAAGCTTTGCGTTTGCAATATGGGAGGACACAGTTTGATAAAATTTGCTTTTTTAAATTTACAGTATTCTATAGTATTACACATCAACCATAGCCATAATGTTCTACCGCTTCACCTAAACAATAGAGAAAAATAAATTATCAACAATTCGCAAAATATCACAAATTATTCATGAAATGAAAAACATAAACATGACTGTAAACAATCCTACTTTGACAGTTCTCATTGCGAATCACAGTTTTTTGTTGCTGCTTAGATCAAATTAGCTATTGTCATAAATGCAAAAAAAAATATAGTGCTGCACCCTGTTGGTAAATCTTATAACTTTTTAATGCTTTTCCATATCATAGAACCAACTTTTTTAGTTGAAACAGCTGACTAAATTCTTTAATTCCCTTTAAATATGAATACTCATAAGGTTAACATGGGGAATTACAGAGCCACTGGGGAGGAGCCCGAAAGGATTTTTGAGATAAGAATATGCCTATATGTTAATCCGGAATGTAAGCTATCATCATGCCAAATTTCAGCCCAATCCGTCCAGTGGTTTATGCGTGATTGAACTTCAAACAAACAAACACACAAACTTTCACATTTATAATATTAGTAAGATAAGATGTATTTAGTTTTTTTTTAATAATAAGTTATGTGTAAAGTGGTGGGAGTGGGTTGAGTATTGAGGAAGCCCAAAAATGGCTCTTGCATGTTTGGGAAAACACCTCGCACCGGCCCAATTGTATAGTATTTAAAATAATATCACAATCATGTAGTCAGACTAAGTTGGGTAAAAGAAAAGTTAAATTAGCATTACAAAATTTATAAATATTAAGATTTGAAACCTACTGGTGCGACATTTGATACCTTTATAAGTTAGTGTACAAGTTAATGTATTAATACAAAGTAAATGTCTAACTTCACATAGTATATCTTTTCTCATTTCTTGATTTCTGAGTTTAAAAACACTTTTTCAGGGAAAAGATGAAAACAGATGTCTTTGCTCAGATCCGGAATTTTCGACACGGATCTATAACTCACGAAACACAATTGGATTTCAATGACTTTGTTGCCTTATTTCGATCATTCAGGTAAGACTATATTCTCTTATCTTAACTTGCAGGGGCAAGCCAAAACCATAAAGCACTTCATCCGAATAGTCAAATTTTTACTCTCACCAGGAAGTTGTTTTATTGATTGACTAAAACATCTCTTAGATTTGTATACATATTGCATGATTGGGAAACATTGTCAGTAGGGACGTGTGTCTATTCTTGATACAACCGATACTTGGCAATTGGTATCAGTATCGAGAATCGATCGTCAAATGTCGATTCCATTACCGATACCCAATAATCCACTACCACTATTGCTGTAAACGCGTAAGACGACGACGACGTTTCCGTGACCACGGGACACGATGATGATGTCTACACGGCCATGGGAGATGTTCATGTTTCTGCCACGATCACGGGAGATGTATCACAACTCACTGGTCAAGTTGCTGGAGATGACAATAATGTCTACACTGTTGCGGAAGATGTTCATGATTGGGCCGCGATCGTGGTCGATGACGTTTCCGTGACCGTAGGAGTCAATAATAATGTCTTCATGGCCTTGTAAGAATTTGATGATTTTGCTGTGATCGCGGAAGAGAAAGATCACGTTTCCGTGACCGTGTATTTGTTTATTTGGAGCAACAAAAAAAACTAATTTGGATTGAATGTTAACTCCAATGTTATAGACTTCAAAAGAGGTCTATAAGAGTAATGCTGAAATTGAATTCTTATGATTCGGTCAGGGATCATTTCAAACAGTTAAAAATAAAAATACTAACGGTTTATGGTCAATATGTTCTTGACGTCATTTTATGTGCAAAACAAAATTCCTAATGATGTCCCCTACGAACCTACATCATTATAACACTAGAAAAAAGAACTCTATAAGGCAAAATCAGCACAAACTGAAGCTCTATAAAAAAAACCAACATATGCTGAAGAAAAGTTTTTAAAAATAATCCCAAAAAATATAAAAATATAAAAATTTAATTAACTGAAAGTGTATTTAATTAACAAAGTAATTTACCCGCTAGATGACTTTCTTAACCTCCCTCTTAAATAAAGTATGAACCAATATAAATGTATCATTAGAATAATAATTGATTGCTGAGACTATTTAATTGTAGCTTTAATTGTAGGCCTACTTGGATGAAAGAATATCGTTAATTGTCTATTAATTGTCTATTACTTCCAAATTAATTAATTGTCTATTGTACAAGCCAAATTCCATAAAAATTGCACAAAAATTACTCCAGTTATCGCATTCACGGACGTCTATATGAAATATACATATACAAATATGAACGAACTATGTATTTGTCCCCTAGGGACATCAAAATGGAAAAGTATATCACTCTTGGCTCTAGGTCTTACCATGCCATCTACGGTAATAGCTACTTAATTCGCTAAAAACAAAACAGGTGTTGTTTAAAACCCCTGTTAAACTCAATAATGCTGTCAACTTGTATCCAAGCCAGCTAAGTCACACATTATTGAGCTTAGTATGCATTGCACATGTACGGGATTTTCCGATTTTCCAATTTGTTTTGCATACAAAATTTAACCATAACCTGATTTTTGTGCTTTTTAAGCCATATTGTTTACACTTTACATTTGGCATAAAATTGGATGAGCAAATGTTTTGTACAGTAGATCTCCTCATATCCGACCTCGGAACAACCGACTCCTCGGGATATCCGACCTTGGAATAATCGACTCCTCGGGATATCCGACCTTAACTTGTTTCCTGTCTGCGGCGATAACACAGAGCGCGATCACTTAACCGAAAGGCCGCTCACAGGTGTTGCGGTTGTCTCGGTAGACAATTACCGAAGTCGCAGAGACTGTAAGTTACGCTCACGGGTGTTATCGCGGTCACTGGAGACGATTACCCATGTCGTGGAGACTGCAGGTTATGCTCCTTCCAAGCCTTTTGACCGTTCCGACCATGTCCCGGTCCTGTTATGGTCGGATATCAGTGGTTTTAATGTACTATGAATCTTTTTTAATCAAACTTCAATACATCTTCAGATTATTTACTTGGTTTTAGAGGTTAGCCATGATGGAGGTATGTCAACTTTTATTACGGTACGGTAACCTAAAGCCCCATGACACTTTTTTGCATTGAATTTTCTAAATATTTAGTAAAGCAAGTACAAATTTACTATGGACAGACCAGTTGGTTTATTCTTCTTTTGTTATTTCCTCAGCCTGAGATCCAGAAAGGACTTGCGGGAACTGTTTGATCAGTTAGCCATGTCTTGCAGAAGTCTATCCGACAGCTCTCTCAACGACTCAAGTGCCAAAAACTCACCAGAACAAACAACTAAAGTACCAAAAATAGGTAGGAAACATGAAATGTCATCAAATAAATTATTAATTCCTTATAGAATACTAATTGAAAGTAATAATTGATTGGCTGCATATCCAATAGTCAATGATATTATATAGTAGATCAAGTACTTAATATACCACTTAGTTAGGGTTACCATAAGACCGGGTTTCATCTGGACTTTCCGTATTTAAAATATGTGTTTGGTTCGATGTTTGAATCTGAGAAATGTCTGGATCTGACAAATAAACAACAATGTGGTAAAATCGGGGAAATTTTACCCTACGCCACTCCACAGGTTGGCCGCACTGCCTAGTGTAATCAGATTCAAGAACAATTACATCTTTAAACATATGCCTGAGCTATGGGAAGAGCTGTGCTGACTAGCGGGGAGAGGAGAGGCGGTTTGATTTTTCAATTTTAGAACTAAGAACTTCAAATCTCAATTCTGTTGAGAACTTTAGAGAAATCTCAATTCTAAAACTGTAACTGAAAAGTCTGTATATCAAACTAGGTTAGTTACAAGTTTTACTTCTCAAAATAGCTTGAACCGCTTTTAAACAAATTTTCCGATTCCATACCATTTAAATAGTTTGGCCGATATAGGGTCAACAAATTATGGTAACCCTTGACTTACTGCTTTAGTAAATCAAACATTTAAGTTAAGTACAGTACCATTGTTTAACAAATATTTTCTGAAAACTGCCCATCCTACTGTGTGTGTTGATCTATACATTTTACAATTTTAGGGCAAGTTAATGAATGCTCTTACAACTTTCTTATGTGATGTTGGAAACAAACTACATGTATGAAACAATTAATGACATCACTCCAATAATTACTAAAATTAATCAATAGTGCAGTGTTCTACTACTCATATACACCCAATTCTGTAGCTTTAATACATTGTTTTATTCACAAATTAAGCATGAAAATTACAACAAAATTCCAGCAACAAAATAAAACAAAATTATAAGAAGAAATTATTTTGAATCAGTGTAAAAATTACATAATTCATGTTTGTTTTCTAATTACATTTTCACTGGGACTATCATTGGATGATTATCAGTATAAAGTTTAATTTCATGATATTTTTCATATTAATAGAAATATTGATAAACGTTAAACATATTGTTTTTGTTTTGCAGGTCTATTAACAAGGAACAGCTCAGCGGATCTCATGGAATACAAAAGCACACCAATTCAACAAAAAAAGAAAATCTTTGATGCAATTGCTGCATCAAGTATCATTTCTAATTGTGCAGGAGTTGATACTTCCAAATCTCAAGTCATTACTCTTGCAAACTTTATGACTTTTTTAGAAACGAAACAAATGGAACATCGCTCTGAAGAAAAAGTCAAAGAACTAATTCAGGTAAATTAAATTTTCCAGCCACATAGATATTGTTCATAGGAATTATAATAATGCTATGAGTAGAAAGATAGTTTTTTAGTATCATCAGTGCCGGATTTAGAGCAGAACCATGATTAACCGTCTCCCTCTAAACCATCACTCTCTGTTATCTGTCAACCTGCTACAAAGTATTTTGATTATTTTAAAATGGGATTTTATTTCACTGTACGACTATTGAACAAATAACAAAAACCAATAATATAAAAACAGTTGTATATTACTCTTGTATGCAAGTAATTTATTTATAAGTATATGTATTATTTACTTGTACAAAGTTTAATTTCTTCCAAAACCTTTTAAATCAACTTAACTAGAGCCTTTGGTAGAAATTCTCCGCAATCACACCAAAGTCGTGATCATCCCCCATGATTACGACATCATCATCACTTACGATCGCTTCCATCTCCCGTAGATCATGGGAACATCAGCATCGTCACATCTCCTCTAAATCAAGGGGACATCACCATTGACACTGCAGAGAAATTGTGAACATCTCCCCTAAATCAAGGAGATATCATCATCATTACCCACGATCGTGGAGAGGTCGCAAATATGTGCAAAAATCTCCTTTAAATCAACAGGAAATCATCGACAAATGAATGAGCGACCACTGACAAATCGTGAACATCTCCAGCGGGCCGCGATCACGGGAACATCATCACCGTTGAACATCACAAATTATTAATTAAAAAAAATTAAAATCCACATTTTTTTCTCTTCAAACAACTGACTTTGTACAATACGCTACAGTCCCGTTTTGCTCGCAGCTCTAGGCCGCTGCCTAGCCAGCTTAGTGGTAAATCCGGCACTGACTATCATTATATTCTGTTATAATAATAGAATCAATAATCGGTGGTTTATATTTCTGTATCAATAGACGAATTAAGTACAGCTCAATATTAAAATTACAGTTTTAGAATCCATGGCTCATCTCCCCCAAAATAAGTAGAGATTTGAAAGTGAGCCAATTCACTGTATTCCACACTTACTCAACCCTTCCCAGACGGCCTTTTGAATGTAGATAGCAATTTATTTTATTCAAATAGAAACTAAAAATATATCTTTTTATATCTATCATTTATATAAATGTTGTAAATAATAGTTGACCTATGCAGAACTTTTATCCAAAATCATTTTTTGTATACTTCATTTATTATCTTTTTCTTATTTTTTAAAATTTTGTATTATTTTTTAATTTTTTATTCTTCTAGAAAAATAATTCTTAAATCGGTTAAAGATATAATTTAATAAAATGATGTTTTTACGAAGACTAATACTAAGACTATTACAAAGACTATAGGCAATCAACTATAACAATGAATGTCTTAATAATTGGAGGTTATATCAGCATACCCTCCGCGGAGCCCAAAAAGATAGACGAATATATCTGACAATAGTCCAGGAAAGGTTAAAAGAAGGGACCTAAAATTTTACTTAGTTTTTTTATAAAGTGGCAAACTAAAATTTATAAAGATTCACTTAAATTTATATCGTACTTACAGAACCATATTTCATAAAAATATGATAAAGTTAAGCTAAGATGTGTAAAACATAACTTTATGATAAATTAGTACACTTATAACTGCTTGACTACATAAACATATAATTTTTTCATAGAGATTTAAAAATTCAATTAAGTGTTTTATCAAACTCCAATATGACATTTCTTTTGTGATACAGCGACACGAGCCAGATCCTATTTTGCGCTCACAGAACTGCCTCTCATTCGAAGGGTTTGCTCGCTACATGATGGATAAGGAGAACTTTGCCTTTGTGAGTGAGCGAGTGAGTCCAGATCCCAATGAGATGGAGTACCCCTTGTCGCACTACTACATCGCCTCGTCTCACAATACCTATCTCACTGGACACCAGCTGAAGGGTGAGAGCTCGGTGGACCTGTACAGCCAGGTGCTGCTGACAGGGTGTCGCTGTGTAGAGTTGGACTGCTGGGACGGAGACGACGGATCTCCCCTCATTTACCACGGACACACCTTCACTACCAAGATTGCATTCCGGTCCGTTGTGGAAGCTATCAATCGGAGTGCATTTGTCACCTCACCCTACCCTGTGATATTGTCGATTGAAAATCATTGCTCGCTCCAGCAGCAAACTCGAATGGCTCAGATATTTCTGGTAATGAGCTATACTGAATATAAATGTTAAATAATGTATATTTTCATCTTTTGTTTTGCCTTTCAGATTACTTCATGAATTGTATACAAGAGGTTAAGTTACCTTGATTCTGTCCAAATAATCCTTAAGTCGTCATTAGTGCGACCGGTTTCGATGTCTATGGCATCATTGTCAAGCTGGACGTAGAATCGCTCTTAGGAGGTCGTCATGAGTCTTGAAAAACACGTAACACATAACACGTACACAAACAAAAAACGATAAAATGCATGGCCACACAACTAATTTATACACATGTTTTTCAAGACTCTTGACAACCTCCTAGGAGCGATTCTACGTCCAGCTTGACAATGATGCCATAGACATCGAAACCGGTCGTACTAATGACGACTTAAGGATTACTTGGACAGAATCAAGGTAACTTAACCTCTTGTATACAATGTATATTTTATTAACGGTCTATTATATATGTTGTATGTTTGTATTGCCTGTTCATTTGAAAATGGGAATTTCAATATAACTGAAATGTTTAGTTACATCTGAATAAAAAAAATCGTAAGCCTAAACTAAAATGGATTGTTTCTGAAAATTACCAAAAAGTTATTGTTATTTGTGAAAGAGAAGGATCAAGACAAACTAAGAAGTAATGTTAAATAATGTTTACATTCGGGCGAGTGACATAATTTTTTTATATTTATGATCCATATCCTTTCTGTTCTAATATTCGTGCAGTATTTAATATGTTTCAACCAGCTGTGTGGAAATGTGAAATCAATATTCATTCAACAGTTCTGCTTGCTAACATTTAAACTTTGTGAGATTTTTACTTTGTTACCATGTAGACCAATCAATATTTACTTTTAAATCTCTCACCTCAGAACTTTGAAAGCCCGCGGGCAAGTCCTAGGTCAATATCGAAGCGAGAATACTTCTATTTGTATCCTCGGAGCTGTACCTTTATTTTTGTCCAATTTGAGCCCAGTCGGTTCAGTAGTTTTTGAGTTCATCTCATACAAACTCACAGACACCATCTCTTCTTTATAATAGTATAGTAATAATATAATAGTATAATAGTCAATCAGTGTTTCAGTACAGGTCAGTTCCCAGATAAGCTTAAATTATCTGAGGTAATACCAATATTCAAGAAAGGCAGTGGCGTCATTTCACCAAATCTTTGAGGGGGGGAAACACGGGGGGTATGGAATACCCCCACGCAAACGGGGGGGTGGGGGTGGAAAATTTGGCAGTTTTTAAGAAAAAAAGAGGGGTTTAAACTTATTTTAATTGTCAAAAGCACTTTGAATGAAAACAAAATTATGAGTAAAATTTATTTAAATTTAGGCAGAAAGTTAATGGAACTAACAATTATTGACAACAGACAGAAACATAATAATATTTTGGTAAGTTAGTCATCTAAGAAACGTGATCAATAGTTCCATGTTGTATTAATATTATTTTTTTATTAGATTTATGACAAAATTCTCTTGTACAACATTTAGAGCAATTAATACGGTTGTATTCATAGCCTATAGTTTATAGCAGTTTAATATGGTTTAAAAATAACACAAGTATTTAAGTACTTAAAAGCAAATGAAATATTATTATCAATAAAATAATTTTACACAATTAATTTTGAATGTGCTACAAAGACACCAAAAAAATAATATTTTGTTTCAAATTACTGTAAAAGAATAGTCAGATTTTTTCTGTCGTGCTTTTTAGGATTTGACAGGAGAAAATATTTGTATATTAGCTAGTACAGCAATTTTTTCTCTAGCCCAGGAACCAGGAGGGGCAAATGCCCCCCTGCCCCCCCCCCCCAAATGACGCCCCTAAAGAAAGGAATGAAAACATATACTGTACAACAAATTACAGACCTATTTCTATTTTAAGTAATTTTTCCAAAATATTTGAAAAAGCAATAAATTTAGGCTTTACCAATTTCTTAGAAAGTAATAATCTTTTTTCAAAATCACAATTCCGTTTTAGGAAAAATCAATCTACATCTGCCTTGACTGGGTTGGTTAACATGGTCACAGAAGCATTGGAGGGAAAACAGAGTACTGCATGAATTTTCTGTGACCTATCAAGTGTGTTTGACTGTGTTAATCACAAGATTTTAGCAAATAAACTAAAGAAAGTAGGTATTGGCGATAAAGTCATAAAACTACTTAAATAATAGAAAACAACGGACAGAGATTTTAAAAAGTAAAAGAAAATTTGTATCAAGAGTGGAAAAGGTCATCCATGGAGTTCCCCAGGGTTCAATACTGGGCCCTTCAGGGCCGGATTTTGAATTTTTGCGCCCCTAGGCCCAAATAATTTTCCGCCCCCTAGTCTGGTCACAGTTACTTTCCTTCAAACCTTTATTAAAAACTATATTATGCCCATAGGCCTAAGTTAATTGCTTGAATACCACTCCTCGCCGGAATCATTGCCAGTTTTTTTTTTATTGACTTGTTTAGCCTTAACAAAATGCCGTTTTAAACACTGTTAGCAATTGTATGCTTTTAATAAATGCTAATGCTCTGCTCACGTTTGTGGCCGTGGGACTGAAACAAAACAACTCAAACCACCGAGAATTCCTGAAAAAAAAAAACGGCCATTGATTCCAATTCCAGGCCCAAAAACCTGAACTCCATACAGTACGTAATACCATAGATTAAACATAGGCTACTCCTTTAGTAGATTTGGCATAATTTTGGATTAGCTGAAAACAATTCTTGTTATTTAAGGAGTATGTTTTATCTATGTTTGTGCTAGTTTGTGCTATGTTGTATCTAGTTTATCCAAAATAAAACGATCTAATCATCAACAATAGGTCGTCTCCTGTTTATATTACAAAAAATTAAAACACACATCATAGAACTAGCCCTAAAAAAATAGAAACAAAATTACGTTAAAACTAACTTCCAATATCACCCACATGAACTAGACATGAAAAAATTTTGAATTAACAATGTCATAAGAAGTCGACTTGAGCTATATTTAATCTATGGTCGCCCTGCATCTAGGTTATATTTCCAAAGCAAAACAGAGCAATACTCCTGCCAACACCGATCCTTAGGTCTGAGGAGAAAATGACAGCTTTAATGGTGCTTTGGAGGGTATTGAATGTTTCTAAAATCTAATGCAAAATGAGATTAATAATTTTTCGTTAAATTTAAATGCAAATTAATCGTTGTTTTAATATTCAACACAACGTATTATATATTTTAACTTGATCCTGCAGATTGTTGCAAACTAATCAAAAGATTAGTTAAAAACTTTTGTTTTGTAAAGTGAGGGTGGTAACAATGTCTAGCACGCTTGCGCCCCTAATCACTATGATCAGTAATGCCGAGCCCGAGCCTGAGCCAGCCGAGCCAGCGTAGTGGCCCAGTGCAATGGCATACGATGCGTACACCTTGGGAGCTCGTCAACGTCAACATCCCTACAGCCTACTCCCGTATAACCAATGTTCGTTAGCAACTTTGTAACAAAATTGATGCATAATTCTGAAAAATATTTTAAATTTCATAACAATAATTTCTTCTTATGAACTTCAGAAGTTTTTTTTATCATCTATGACTATTTATTTTTATTTTTAGATAGCCTATAACAAAATTCCTCTTGGCCGTGCGCCCTCTGGGACCTTGCGCCCATAGGCCCAGGCCTACCGGGCCTATTGGGAAATCCGGCCCTGGGGCCCTTTATTATTCCCGATATTTATCAATGACATTGATTCTCACATATCTGGTGATATTTTCTTATATGCTGATGACACCAACGTCATAGTCCAAAATTCAAATATTCAACAACTAAAAATCTCCATTAAAAAGACTTTAGAAAAACTGCAAGTTTGGTTCACAAAAAATGGTTTTCTAAGGAATAATTCAATAACACGTATAATGCATTTTATTCCCATTTTATTTTTGAATCAACATGAATGCCGATTCAAAATTTTTTTCAAATTTCAAAAATAAAATGTGACAACCGAATACATTGCTTAACAAAAAAGCTCAACTCTTTTTGTTTTGCGTTAAGTGTAGTTAATGATGTCTACTGATATTGGTAAACTAAAGGGTGTCCCAATAAGAACGCCGGATTTGAAATGTTAACAAACCATATATTTTCTCGCTAAATTTACAATATGAAACATGAATCTTAAAGCATAATATCTCCGATTAGTAATTGAGTATTATGTCTTGTAAGTGCCAACCTGCTGAATACTGACAAGCTCGACATCTCTTGACAAAGTTTTCCATCACTTTTTCACACACTTCCTGTTGAATTCCGTTAATGGCACGAATCATTTCCTCCTTCAAGTCTTGGATTGTTTGAGGGTTATTGGCGAAAACAAGCGACTTTAAATATCCCCAGTATAGAACTGAGCCAATTTATTCGAACTTATAAACCAATCTTCGGACAGATGGATCATTTGGTGCATTGTCCCGGCCGTAAATAGTGCGCAGCTTCCGTACTTGTAGTGCACTTTAACTATGACCACGCGTTGTTACGTCGTGTAGCGATTCATGACTACGAATGGGACCTAATACGGGTAACATTGCTGATAATTTGGGAATTCCTATTGAAATACAGATAAGGATAAGACGCTCCTCAAATCCGGCGTTCTTACTGGGACACCCTTTAGTATATTATGCCTACATGGAATATAGACTCAGATATGGTATTGTTCTTTGGGGATCCAATTCCAAAACAAAAAAACTTCTCAATGCACAGAAATTAGTGGTGAGGACAATAGCAAGTTTCCAAAAGAAAAAGCTGTAGCTGTAGATCATTATTTAAAGAATTTGGAATTTTAACAGTAACAGGTTTATTTACAGGGTGTCCCGGAACACTCTACCAATATTTTAGGGTATTGCTCCTGGGTAAGAAACATATCTAAATATCATATTTAAATTGCTCAGAATTCCTTATAGTTACTAACACAGCTGCCACTTTTTTTTAATTATTAATTTCTTTCTAAAGAATGGTTAAACATACGAAATGGAAACTTTGCACAAACATTTATGACCACTAGACAAAGCTACCAAAAAATTATGAAGATTTTTCAAATTCATTAAACAAAATGGTGGTCATTTAAAATTTAGTTTTTAGTTTCTTTAATAACTCAAAAACCGTTGATTTTACAAGAATAACTTTTTTAAGGAAATTTCATTACAAATCAATTGACATCTTATTTTGTAAGATTTAACAAGTATTAACTGAGATATGGCAACTTTAGTTACACGTGAGCGCTTTCAGCATGCAGCAACTAATCTTCAGCGGTCACGTATCACTAAAGTTGTCATATCTCAGTTAATACTCGCCCAATCTTAAAAAAGAGGTTTCAATAGATTTTTAATAATATTGCCTTAGAAAAGTTATTCTTATAAAATGTTTGTAAAATCAACGGTAAAAAACTCAATTTTTTTACAGAATGTGTTCGGAGACAAATTGGTCAAAAACTTTTTATTTGAAGCCGACTTTGGAGATGAACCACAACTACCTTCTCCTCTTCAATTGAAGTACAGGATTCTGGTGAAGAACAAGAAGCTAACGGCAGAGATACCAGCCTGGCCAATACAGAGGGGAGGAGGGGGACGTGCTAGTCAGCGACCCCCACAGTCAGGGGTGGCAGGGACCGGCAGAGCATCATCTATCATCAGCAACACCAGCGGCGGCAGCGTCAACGATGACTTCAGTGATGATGATGATGATGACGATGACGATGATGATGAAAATATTGATGGTAGGGATTGATCAATTAAGTCAAAAGTTTGTAAAGTTAATACCAACAAATTAAATTTCTTTATTGTTAATTTAATTTGATAACATAAACAAATTTAATAGTGACAACATTTAATATGCTAATGGATGCATTTAAATAATTACTGTAATCTAGGTAACTAACCTCAAAGAACTAAACTTCAAATAAATATTCTACTCTTTGCTTGTAAAATTAAGTAAAATATTTACAACATGTCTATATTCTAAAAATTGTGTTTTAAAAGGTCAATCTTACAACAGGTAAAAACTAATTGATGTTTCTTTACATGGGGGTGTTGAAAAGCTTGAAAATATATCTCTTGGTATTTTTTTTCCTTGGCACTGTTAATTTCTCAAAAGTAAATTTCCTCAACCGAGTGTGGCTCTTTTATCATAATGCCAAAAGCAGGTAACAAAATGTACAACAGGACAACAACAGTTTTAAGAACATAAGCCATCTCAAGGTAAATAATATATTCAATATGAACAACTTATTTTGCTAGATTAAAACTCAGTAATTTTCTGTTTGCAGTGCAGTGCGCAGGAGGAGCCCCTGTGTGTCCCAGGACAGATTCTATGTCTAGTCATGAGAGTGCACAGAAGACACCATTGAGAGGTACAGGCAAGTCTCCTGCCGTGCCACAGGTGGATGTCGACTGGTCTGGCTACCTGGACGATGAACCCAACATTCACAAGGCCAAGAAACAGAGCAGTCAGATAGCCAAGGATCTCTCGGACCTAGTCATATATGTCCAGGTAATTATACTATCACTCTTTATCTTTCAGGGAACTATTTACTCTTTTCATCATGTATTAAATTTACATTAGATTTATTATAGTCTAGTCATATTAGAGAAATTACCTAAAAAAGCTCTTATAAGTGTAAAACTTGGTACCTCTATTGAGTTTTACTTCCGGAATGACATACTAAAAGTCCTCGAAAAAAACTTGTGCTATGGCCGCCATCTTGGAAAATGGCGCCCAAAAACCAGTTTTTCCCCTATTACTCAAAAACTATTCATCCTATAAAAAAACATTAAATGTATAAAATGTTTGCCACATAAAGAGCTACAACTTTTGTATTTAGAATATTTCGATATAACTAACCGTTTACCCATAAAATGCAATATTCAGAAAATACATTTGAAAATTCGTAAAAAAAACACTATCAATTATCAATTATCAATTATTTAATATGGGGACGCCACTATGTGCGTATTTTAACCCAAATATGAGTGAAGGATGAGTGTAGGATGAGTGGCGCGATCTTGTAGTCTTGTTAGTGACTAAGGCCGAATTGCCATTAAAAAAGTTTTAAATAAATTATTTTATTATTTTAATTTAAAAATTTGAATGTTCTGAACATTTTCATACCAGTAACATAACTTCTCCTTTCAATTTATATTTTCTGTGAAATTATAAATGTCGTTGCCAGACTACCATAATAAACTAGCGTAATAATAATAACGCGGAAACTCTTGGCTAGCAGTAGAACTTCAGTCTGATGATGAATAAGATTGGGACAATTACGTAACAGGATACAATGATAATTGTTTGAATAAAAAAAATAATTAATTGTATTAAAGGGGTTTGTTTTTTTACTATATAGTATATAGTAAAAAAACAAACCCTATATAGTATATACAAAATTAACCTATTTCCACTGATTTAAAGGGTGTTTTTAAAAGAATGCCGGGATTTTAAATGATAATTGTTTGTGTACTTTTTAAGGTAACTAAACGTTTTATACGTCAAATTTTAGCTAAAATAACTAAGTTTTATTTCCCTTGTAGCAAGGGAGGAAACTTTGGACTTGACATGCGCAAAACAGGTGCGCGGTGGTAGGCCTTTATTGTGACTCATGCGCTTGACGCCAGTCTCCAGTACGACGGTTTACGGCACAACAGAAGACACAGATTGCAATCTGTGGTTCGCATAGTTTATATATATTGCTAAATTAAACTAAATTTAAATCTATTTGATGATAAAGAAACTTGAAGTTGGTTTAATGAGTTTCGTGGCACCGAAGTGTTTTGAAAAGAAATTCACCTTGCTAAAAACAAGCGATGACATAGTCGAAGAAATCCAACAATTATGCATCAGAAGCTTGAAAAAATCTATTGCCCGACGAAGTCTTCAGTTGAACTTTATGATGTTATCTATAAAAGATGGAGTCGTGCCAAAAAAAATTGAGTCAAGGCATCAGAACCCGCCGATCGCCTTAAAGCATACAGACTTTGGCGGAGCCGGGGTGGCCGCGGCAGAGCTGTGGCGGGGATGAACTCCATGGAACTGGAGTCAGGGCAACAAACAAATTTTAGGGAACAGTAAATTTTTAATACGAATAAAATAATAAATTCATTAAGTGAATATGAAGAGTACAATTATCTATATTACATTTTACGCAAAGAACAAGCCTAAGAAGATAAACGGCAATTCAAACATCGATTTAAAATTATAATTTAAGCCAAATATAAAAACAAATCACTCGGCTTGTGTATTGAACAACTGTCGCCACCACGTTACGACGTTACCCAGGACGAGTGACAGCGTCAAAGCAACATTGCAGCGGCTGGGATTGACCTCGACGTATTCCTCTCTCTCTCTCTCTGCCCCCTCCCACGATGTTGTGTTTACTTTATTATTGATTATTTTGGTAGCATGGGCTTCCCTTCCCTCCGAGAGAGAGGTGTTGCAAAAATGAGATATTTTGCTACTTTTTATCTTAATAAACAATGTCGTAATTTAATTCAACAATTAATAACATAGCCGTTTTGGGGGAAATCCAAGATGGCCAAAAGTCCTGCCGACTCTTAGGTCACATTTTAAACAAAAACCAAAAAATAATTATATCTGCAACTGTAAACATAAACCAGATTATGAAATGAAAATAATTTTAATGTGCAATTTACACTAAGAACCCTTAGTACATAATTAAGTCAGAGCTCAGGGAGACACCATAGGCGATCGCTCAAGGAAGAGGTGGAGCCCAGGAGTAAACAATTAGGCGGGACAGTGGGGTAGATACGGGGGGGATCAGGGGGATATATCCCCCCCCTTCAACCTATAATGGGTAACAAATTTTAATAACATTTAAAAAATAATGTTTTAACTATGCAATTAAATAGTGAACCTTTTTAATTTTACTTCTATTGTATTAAGCTTGTTTTTTTCAAAAGTATACTTTCAATATCAATAGATCGTAAATAAACTGCAATGCCAGTGAAAGTAGTATGGTTTTTGCGCGCGAAACAGAGTACAGACACAAGACACGGAAGGTCAACAGCCTATCCGCCCCTCCCCCTACCACCGCCACTTCACTTTTTACACCTACCTGAAATTAATCGTTTTAACGTGAGCAATAAAATAGTTAATCAAATCCACTTTACAATGAAAAAACATTCACAAGTTGAAATTACAAGAAACAAAATAGTAAAAGTTGTACAAATAGTGAACAATAACAATAGTAGTAACAATATCAATAGTAACAAAAATATTAACAATACAAATATTTACAACTAGCTGTGTGCCCGTTCTACGCACGGGGATCTTAAAGTAGTCAGTTGAAACCTTCTTATATTAAGAAAAGCAGTTGGTTTGCATATTTTCAGATATGCTGGCAAAACTATTATATATAAACCTTTGCAAATACAGTACAAGTTTTATTAACAGTTTTTGTATCTGACAGTTTCAAGCCAAAACAAATGCTTCGCAATTAAATGTCACCCGGATCGTGTTGGTCCATATGTTAAATCCAATGATTAAACTAAAAAAAGCTTTATAGGCCTAGATCTATGAGGCATAGCCCTAAGGCCTATAGTTGAAAGTTACTTCCCACAATGGTTAAAGGTATTTAAAGTACTACCTCAACCTCACCATTTAACACTTTATTCAGGTTGACATTTTCATTATCAAGGTGCTCTTGTCCTTTTCGTGACACTGAGAAATAAGGACATAAATGCGTTACCAACAGACATACACACAAAAATACAGAACTTAATTAGGGAATTTGCTACGTTTTAAGCATAACAAAGTACATATAAAATTAGAATTTGAAATCTTTGTCAATTTCATCACATTTTATCATAACAATTTATATTTGCTTGGACCGAAGATGACCCGAAATGCTGTCGAAATGACGGCTTACTTTATAAAATGAAGTACTATAGACAATTTAGATTGGTAATTTAACCTATAATAAAAATTACCAAAATAGGCCACGAACTATTGATACATAAACAACGTAAATCGTAAACATTTCATGATGGTTTGCTAAACAAATGTTTTACTTAAATGAGTTATCATTTTCTTAGCATAAACTAACATTTTGGAATCCAGACAGAAAAAGCAAAACTTATACAGTTAAGATATCAATTAAATTTAATAAGGCTGTAATACCACTGTATAAATAAGGTGCAACACCAACGATAACTAATTTGTAAATTACAGTGATGTATTGGTACGTAAAAATGATTCTTGCTGCTACCAACAGTTCTAAGGAAAAGAACCAGTACCAAAAACCAACGTTTACAGTTAAGAATTAAGTCCGACAAACTAAATGCGTTAATCAAGTCCCAAGGTTATTGATTTCTTGGTTTTGGATTTTCTCGTGAAAAGTTATCGGCAATCAAAATTATTTCCCATTAATTGCTTTATTCGTAAACAACTTTTAATGTCAACTTATTGGTGTCAGTTTGAAAAAAAAACCTTATAAAAACAACTGTTTGTTATTTAATAGATTACGCAGGCCTATTCTCTAAACAATGATTGGTATATCTTTTAACATTAGAATGAAATGTGACAAAAATCACGCAATGCTGGGTTTTTGGACGTTTGTAATTTTATTTCTTAAGTAGGGAGGCCATGTATTCTAGGGAAAAGTACCGTTATCAAGGATCGTCGTCGAAAAGGTTGTTATTAATAATTGGGTAGGCGTAAGTACCCAAGAGATGGGCTATAGGCCTATTGGCTGTATGGTCCAGCGATTGCATCATACGGCGAGTAGGAACAGAAAGTGACACATTGGAAAAGCGAGTTTAGCATCATCCATAAAACATAAACCTCTGTTACAATCACCCACTGCAGTTGTAATTTTTTACTTTACACTTTACTTTACACAACCACCATTGAAGCGCCGTCAATGAGTGGAATCCATGTTAGTAAGCTATTGGCGACGATCATTAATAAATTCAAGTTTCCCAGCCCTATACAACACTGATTCAAGGTCTTCTTTCTGGTTATCAAATTTCAAGAAAAATTTTATACACAAAGAATCTCTGGTTCCTGACCTGGATGATGTTATTAAATTTCATTTACGGTTACACTATATTATTCCACTTGCGATTAATTAAATCCGTTACCGGTAAGACAACGTTTTTAATCTCACTTGGATGGGCTTTGCCTTCAAAACGTGATCGGAAATGGTTGTGGTATTTGTAAACAACATTTGTAAACATATCAGTGACAGCTAGAACAAATAATCTTGATCCGAACAGCTGTTCGTTATTTCATAGATCATTATGTGATAAAAATTGGACGAAAACTTGACAAAAATCGCACAAAACTGCATTTTTGAACGTCCGTAATGTTATTTACCTACTAAGTAGTGAGGCCATATTTTAATGGCTAAAGACACTCTCGCCAATCCAGTGAATACATTAAAATGACTTGGATCTTAATAAGTACTTTCGTTTTCCTGGAGAAGATTGCGTAAAATGCCATCTTGAGTGTTACAGAAAGACAGAAAGACAGACAGACGGACAGACAGAAATTTAGATGAGACTTGTTTCAGCTTCTTTAATGTATAAAACGTAAAAATAACCTACAAATGAATGATTCTGAGCAATGTACAGACAAAACTCTTAATTTTATTTATATAGATTTATAAATAGAAAGTTGGATGGCAACAAGTAGTGCATGAGTGAGATCAAAGAAGATTGTGAAGTTATTTTACAATAAATATCAACATTGACAAAAATGCAGGAACAAACATAAGCAAGTATCAGTTTTAATGTTATTCTTAGGTTGTCGGTTACTCATCACTAAAATAAATTAATCACAATTTACTAAAAAATGTCTAGGTATATTTCAAGTTTACATCAAAACTCATCTTCAGCCTCTAGTAACAACATATCAAGTAAATAAACTATGATTTATAATGTTTGTTTATAAATTAATTAACATATGTTTGAATTATTTTAAAATTAAGTTAGTAGGAAAAACATTTTTATATGTATATATTATGTAGATGTCACAGTTAATTTATTATTGTTTTTCCAATTTTAATTTTGTTCTCAACCTCTTCTCGAATTAAAGGTATAAACATAGGGCTGATTGTAGCACTAGGTTGGGATATGCTTCTTTTATCAACCGCCATGCAAGCAGCTTCTTTAAGATTTCTTAGTTTCCATATCCCAACCTAGTGCTACAATCAGCCCTACCTTTAATTCGAGAAGAGGTTGAGAACAAAATTAAAATTGGAAAAACAATAATAAATTAACTTTGACATCTACATAATATATATATATAAAAATGTTTTTCCTACTAACTTAATTTTAAAATAATTCAAACATATGTTAATTAATTTATAAACAAACATTATAAATAATAGTTTATTTACTTGATATGTTGTTACTAGAGGCTGAAGATGAGTTTTGATGTAAACTTGAAATATACCTCGACATTTTTTAGTAAATTGTGATTAATTTATTTTAGTGATGAGTAACCGACAACCTAAGAATAACATTAATAATGCCATCACGAAGGAAAAAACATACCGGAATGAAGTATCAGTTTTACAAATTTTACATACATCAGAGACAAGATGAACAAATGCTGGTGAAAATCTGTGTCTGGAAGTAGGCCTAGTTTACGCTCACACAGGTTCAAGGAGTGAAGATTTCCTGATTGATCTTCTGATATGAGAAATTGTGTCACAGAACAGGTCACAGTCCGGAGCAACACGGTTTCCAAGCCTGGCAAGACGAGCTAGTGGGCTGTGGAAGTCGAAAGACACTTGTAGAAGAGTTCCCTAGTCCTAGTGCCAGACGGTACTTTGAAGTCAATTTTTGACAGGATGTCCGGACAAAATAGAAGACCTCTGATTATTTTCAGTAGGAGCATGAAGTCGGCCAAGTCTCGGCACACCGCAAGAGATACAAGCTGCAGTTCAGAAGAGAGAGAAACGACAGGGACGTCCGCGTAGTTAAAGCCATTGCGAAATCCCACTAAGCGGATGAAACGTCTCTGCAATGCTTTAAGCCTATTGTACTAAGCTTGTTTGTTTGTTTGTATACTTTCATTATCGATGAATAAATGGAACAGATAAACTACATGCCGGTAGCCGGTAGCATTGGTGGGGTGGGATATTTGTCGTCTGGTGTTAATTATTGTGCCAGTGTGTTTTTATGATTTTCGTATTCCGTGGTGTCTCATGAGTGTTATTTTATGTCGAAACAAAGTAAACTGATCGGGTTTTTGTCCCGAAAAGAAAAATTTGATGGCGTTAGCTGGTGTGGCAATGGAACAACGAAGTTAAGTGATTTTATTACTCGCCTTTCAAATAAAATTTTTTAAATAGGCCAAGTCCCGTTAAAACATATTAATCAAAATATTCAGTGTTAAAGGATAGATAAACATAACGTCAAATGTTATCATATAACGAAAAGCCTAGCCTAAGTACTTAAAAAATAAATGTAATAAAAACTAAATGTAATAAAAACTAGTCCACATGCAGTTAAAGCAAAAAGTTTAATTTCATTAGTACAAAATTGCATAAAATTGTATTAAGTATTAACACCAGATTTCACTTCCTAAACGCTTAAAAATAGTGTTTAGAGAAGTTATTTTTCTCAAATTTTCCGGGGGAGGACTCCTGGACCCCCCTTACTTGTTGGAGGGAATTTCGTACACCCCAGACCCCCCGGAGGGCGGTGGTCGCCGATCTAGCCCAGGGCGGCAAAGTCCCTAGGGCCGTGCCTGTCCACTAGGTAAATAAATATACATACCAAACCCCATCCTTGTACCATAATGAACTCAGTATGGGATTATTATGGTATTTTTAAGTACAAATAATAAAATAAATTTAATATTAGTCTATTTAAAACTTTTTTTAATCGCAATTTATGTTTTTTACGAATTTTCAAATTTATTTTCTAAATATTGCATTTTATGGCTAAACAGTTAATTATATCAAAATATTTTAAATACAAAAGTTGTAGCTCTTTCTTTGGCGAACATTTTGTACATTTGATGTTTTTTTATAGGATGAATAGTTTTTGAGTAATCGGGGAAAAACTAGTTTTTGGACGCCATTTTCCAAGATGGCGGCCATAGCACAAGTTTTTTTTTCAAGGACTTTTGGTATGTTATTCCGGAAGTAAATTCAATATACATACCAAGTTTTACACTTATAAGAGTTTTTTTAGGTAATGGGGAAATTTGGATTTAAAATGCTGACTACACTATTAGTAAAATAAATTAGTCCCTCTGGGCTGTGTCTTGTTTTGTTTGCTTAATTAGTTCAATTTTCTTGCATAAATTTCAGTTTTTATGTTCTTTCAGAATGACAAAGACAAAGTCAAATATTACAGGAAGTGTATGCCACTTAACCTTGCTTTTAAAGGAACCCACATAAAATATAATTGTGTCGCTTAAAATTCAAAATTCTTTGCAGGCAATTAAGTTTCGGGGCTTGAACACAATCAGTCCTAACAGCTCAGTGAGATGCAAGCGAGCAGGTGCTGTTGTAGCAGCCACAACATCGTCTGCAATGCTCAAGAAGAGCTCTGGCAGCTCTGTGACGCTAGCCAGCTCGGGTTCCCCAGGGGCTTCTATCCACGTAGTAGCTGATCACGGGGTACACGCCAAGCGACCCAACAGCAACCACCCATGCTACCAGACTTCCTCACTCAACGAGAACTCTGCCAAGAAACTGTGTCGCAAACAACCTCACCCTCTCATGGCTCACACCGAGACCCAGTTGGTCAGTATAAATACTGGCATAAAGGAATTTAACTACAGTAGTACTAAAACTATCCTAACTCTAACTAGTATATGAATACTGATTATCTGAATAGCCTACAGAAAGAATTTTAAAAACTTAAACCCACAGAAATAAGAATCGTCACTAAAGAACTCTCCTGCAGTTGTGTAGACATAATCATAGTCTCCAGCGGTCATGGAATCATTGAATCAATTTTGCGATTATGGCAAAATCTTGCATATCATCTGCAGTTTTGTAATATTGTACCATCACCCACAGTCACAAATGTATCATCATCATTTTCCGTGATTGCTGCAAAATGTTAAATACATCCCGTTGTTTTGTAGACATCATTGTCGTCTCATATGGTCACGTAAACATCCTCATCGTTTTCTATGATCACAACTAAATCTTGAATGTCTCCCATTGTCAAAAATTGCCCAGGAAACATGTGTTTTATAGTATATTTGCATAAAGTATACTTTGTTTTACAATGCTCCTCTTTGTAAAAGTCTTACTTACAGTTTTAATTTACTTAATTTTAAGTGCTTATTAGAAAATATAAGGTTTTTTAAAGTTGAATCAGTCATAAATAATATATTTTTACTATCTTCATCACACATTTATACTTGCTTGCCGTACTTGGTTCTACAATATCAAAGTGAAACTCAAACTCATTCTTCACCTTCTGTATGTTTGTGTAGTCCTCAATTTCACAAAATGATATGCATGTTTTTTAGGTGCGAACATATCCTGCTGGAATGAGGATTGACTCCTCCAACTTCAATCCTGTGATATTTTGGGCCTTTGGTATTCAAATGGTGGCCCTCAACTACCAGACAGACGATGCAGCCTCCCATCTCAACGCAGCAATGTTTGAGCAGAATGGTCGTTGCGGTTACGTACCCAAACCACCCGTCATGAGGGAGCGCACTCACATGATGTACCGCAGGTAATACCCCAAGACAAATTAGACAGATAAACCTATTGATAAATCAGTTAATATTCTATTGTTATTCAATTTGTTCAGTTGAATTCCTAGTGCTCTTATCCATTGACATCCCAAGAGTGCTTCATGTCCTGTTGGAACAATGTGGGGTTGTTCTTTGGCGTATCTTCCACAGTAAGAAACATTTATTTTCTTTTTTCCTTCAGGTTTGATAATATTACCTGAGGAAGTTCTGCAAGCAATGTTATAGTTGTTTCCAATGGAATGTCCAAATTAAGTTTGTTGAAATCATGTTTAGCTAGAAGTGAGAGTTTTGCTCATGGGTCTACTTAGAATTGTTGTGGTTTACTGTTGAGATAACTTGTGATCATGTATTTGTCAGGGAGCCATTATTTACTTCTATCATATCTCGTATATTTAGGTTTGAATTGACATTAGTTACTTTATTGAGACCGTAATCAGGAAATGTCAATGTGGAATCTGTAGGAGAACAGCACTGGATGCAGTTGTTGAACTAGGAGAATTGCTTTTCTTCTGTTCTGTCAAAATGCACACTTTAGATAAGTGTCCTTGCTTGTTTAATAATATGTTGCCTTTTCAAGGCATGAAAACGATCTTTCTGGTGAGCAGTTTGATATAGCTTTGCTTGCAAATATCCTTAATGCGCTCTAGACGTGTGCCTAGTCCGCTTATTCAGAAATACGGCCCAGGATAAAACGCAGGGCAATGGTCTCCGAGGTCCTAGAGGTAAAGCGCATGGTTATAGTCTTCAAGGTCCTAGTAGTAGAGCGCAGGGCTACGGTCTCCGAGGTCCAAGTGGTAAAGCGCAGGGCTACAGTCTCCAAGATCCTAGTGATGGAGTGCAGGGCTATAGTCTCCGAGCTCCTAGTGGTAGAGCGCAGGCCTACAGTCTCCAAGGTCCTAGTGTTAGAGCGCAGGGCTACAGTCTCCGAGGTCCTAGTGATGGAGTGCAGGGCTATAGTCTACGAGGTCCTAGTGGTAAAGCGCAGGGCTACAGTCTCCGAGGTCCAAGTGGTAAAGCGCAGGGCTACAGTCTCCAAGGTCCTAGTGATGGAGTGCAGGGCTATAGTCTCCGAGCTCCTAGTGGTAGAGCGCAGGCCTACAGTCTCCAAGGTCCTAGTGTTAGAGCGCAGGGCTACAGTCTCCGAGGTCCTAGTGATGGAGTGCAGGGCTATAGTCTCCGAGGTCCTAGTGGTAAAGCGCAGGGCTACGGTCTCCAAGGTCCTAGTGGTAAAGCACAGGGCTACGGTCTCCGAGGTCCTAGTGATGGAGTGCAGGGCTATAGTCTACGAGGTCCTAGTGGTAGAGCGCAGGCCTACGGTCTCCAAGGTCCTAGTGTTAGAGCGCAGGGCTACAGTCTCCGAGGTCCTAGTGATGGAGTGCAGGGCTATAGTCTCCGAGGTCCTAGTGGTAAAGCGCAGGGCTACGGTCTCCGAGGTCCTAGTGGTAAAGCGCAGGGCTACGGTCTCCAAGGTCCTAGTGGTAAAGCACAGGGCTACGGTCTCCGAGGTCCTAGTGATGGAGTGCAGGGCTATAGTCTACGAGGTCCTAGTGGTAGAGCGCAGGCCTACGGTCTCCAAGGTCCTAGTGTTAGAGCGCAGGGCTACAGTCTCTGAGGTCCTAGTTATGGAGTGCAGGGCTATAGTCTCCGAGGTCCTAGTGGTAAAGTGCAGGGCTGCGGTGTCCGAGGTACTAGTGATGGAGTGCAGGGCTATAGTCTTCGAGTTCCTAGTGTTAGAGTGCAGAGCTACAGTCTCCGAGGTCCTAGTGACGGAGTGCAGGGCTATAGTCTCCGAGGTCCTAGTGGTAAAGCGCAAGGCTACAGTCCCCGAGGTCCTAGTGGTAGAGCGCAGGCCTACGGTCTCCGAGGTCCTAGTGTTAGAGCGCAGGACTACAGTCTCCGACGTCCTGAGTTGACATCCCACCAATGGCTTTAACCCTTTGGATCCCAATAATTTAACCTAGATTTAGTTTGAGTAGTCCCGTGCACTTTGGCTTGCGTTAGCTGGGGCGGCCCAGCCATTTGATGCCAGCTGTTACTCAAGAATCCCAAGCCAATAACACCTGTTTTACACATGTTTTGAAGAAAAATGTATAACTCCCTTATTATTGCAGTTAGAAATAATTTTTTTTTTATTTTGAAGGCATTTGTATGTACATTGCGACTGTGTAAACTGTAATAGTGTAATTTATTTTTTTTAATTTTTTTTTAATATTTAAAAAAAAAAAAAAAATTTTCACAATTATTTTTTATATTTTTTCTAAAAAAGTACCAATAAAATATGCGTGATTCTTTCAAAAAATGTCATATTTCAGTTCACTACATTGTAAAGATAACATAATGCAAATTTGACCACAAAAAGTTAAAAAATAAAGTTTCTATGCAGGTTTTTCCAATATCATGCACTTATAGAAAAAGGGTCACTCACCAGGTTTTCACGAGCAGATGAAAAATAAGTCTGAAACATGTCTTCTTTCACTAACTTTCTCTATAAACACTAATACCTAACACAAATATCTTCTTGTCCATTTCATCAAATAAATAATGTCATAAAAATTATTTACATATTTACATATTTACAAGTGCCCCCCCCCCCCAAATTACACTTTACACTTGTGGTTGGGCAAACAGTCCAAATGACAACCAAGCTTGCAATTCACACAAATGGTTTTTGACCGTCTCCGTTTTCCTTGTGGGTTGTTTTTACCACTGCAAACGCAACAGTTTTTTTCTTTGGTTCCCTCCAGCTTTTCGAGGCCAAACTTTCTACTATTGGGAGAAGGGCCAGGACCGTCACCACATCCTCGGGCATCAACTCCAGGATTTTTCTCTGTGAACCATAGTAACGCCAATTCTTCTATGATGTCTATTTGGAACTGCAATCGGGAGACAGGTTTGTCTGTATTAAGCTTATAAAGCACGTAGGCATTTAGAATCATCCTACCAAAAATGTTGAAAATGACTTTTTTTAAATGTTTCATGCAACGACGCTCGTCCAGGTATGTATACAGCATCTGATCGGTGCCATCGATGCCTCCCATTCCGTGATTATATTCGTAAACGACATGGGGCTTAGATTTTATGACAACCTTCCCCCCCCCCCCCCCTTCTAATAACATAGCGAACGTTGGCAGCTTTGGCATTTGACGAAACTAAAATGAATTGGGTTCTGTTTGTGCTTTTTTCACGATATGCCATCCATTGAACTGGGCCTTTTCTTACGTAAACCTTTTTCCCTACAGGATATTTCCCGAGCAATTGTTTCGGTACTCCTCTTCTATCAATACGGACCGCCCCTGTCAACCAAGTTTTGTTGTTGTACAAATATCTCACTAGCTTTTTTGACGTAAAGAAATTATCCAAATAAAGGTGGTACCCTTTATTCAAAAGGTTGCTCATCTGTAACAATCTCTTTACAACGGAGAAACCCTGGCCTAGTTGTTCAATTTCCTCTCTATTATCTTCGTACTTGGCGCCCTTGTAACAAAAGAACTTTAAGCAATAATTTGTGGTGGCATCACAAAGGACCCACAGCTTAATACCCCATCTGTGATGCTTTTTCTTTGGCAGGTATTGAGTCAGAGCTATTCTTTTTTTCGTTCCAACCAGGGACTCGTCAACAGAAAGTTTCTGGAACGGTATGTAGAAGTGTTGAAAAAGCCGGTTGCAGTGATCTATAAGAGGCTGGAATCGACCGCATGGGTCATAATTGGGAGAGTTTTGTCGTGGCAAAGTCCTGGAATCTACAATGTGGAAGAATTTTAATATTGACTGGAACCTATTCCTGCTGAACATTTTGCCAAACCAATCAGTTTTTTGTGATGGAGTTGTGTACCAGTAGCTTCGGATAGATGGTTTTTTCAAAATCCCCATGTTCAAAATTACAGCGATAAACGCTTTCATTTCATGTACGGTGACGTTACACCAATCTTTCATGGTATTTCTAGCTACGTCATTATTGTTAAAAAAGTTCTGGGCATATCTGTTAGTTTCATTTGCCAAAGTGGTAATTAGGTTCATCGTAAAAAAAAAGGTGAAAATAATCAATAGGCTTAGAATTCCGGGGAGGACAATGTTTGGGCCCAGGCAATTCAGAGTATGTGAAGTCGTGTTGCCGTTCTTGATCTTCGTCCTCTCCCACCTCCTCCCATTCGCTACTATCTGGACTGGATGGTTGATCTCTCCTTCCTCTACCCCTAACTCTAGTTCCTCCCCTACCCCTTCCTCTAGGTATTCCTCCCTTCCTCTAGACATTTCTCCCCTTCCTCTAGATATTCCTTCCCTTCCTCTAGGAATTTGAGCCGATGTGCCAGGCAAATCGATTGGTTCAAGGTCATGTGTTGTCCCTGGCAAATTGAACGGTTCAAGGTCATGTGCTGTGCCTGGCAAATTGATTGGTTCAGGGTCATCTACTATTTCCTCAGATGCATCATTAGGAGGGTCTCTTTGCCCAAATAAGTTACATCTACGCCTAGACTGATCATTATCATCATCATCAGAACCAGAGCTTGATTCGCTTACATAGTCAGTTCGACTAGGCCTATTTGCCAAAAAACTAAAACGATTATTTTCCTTACTTCTATTTGGATTGTAGTCTGGGTCCTCGTCAGTGTCATCCACATAGTCGTCACTCGTTTCGGAAGATGGTATTTCATCAAATGAGTCACTACTATTGTCTTCGTCAACAAAATTACAACCACTTTCTATAACATTATTGATTAGTGTACCTTCACTGGCGGGCGACCGGCACCTTTTACGGTTTCCGTCACTCATTTTTCAAAGGATTTTCCCACGCACAAGTTTCACCAAACAGCTTAACATTCGCGATAGTCACAAATCGATGTTCACTCACAGAAAGACCGGGCGAAACTAAAGAAAAATGCGCCAAACGAAGCAAATTCGCGCTAAAACACTAACGCGGGAAGTTTTTACAGAATCATTATATAACAGCTCCGAAGATGAAAGTTGTTGTGTAATAACTAAATAACAATATTTATTTCTTTATTTTTATTTTTACTTATAGTTATTTGTTTACTAAATTGATGTGTTTTATATAATCACGTGCAAACAACAACAGTGAAGTCGGTGGAAAATGCGCCAAAAGAACAAATCGGCGCTAAAACACTAACGCGGGAAGAATAGAACAGCTCTGAAGGTGAAAGTTGTTGTGTAATCACTAAATGAGAATATTTATTTATTTATTTATATTTTTACTTAGTTATTTGTTTACTAAATTATTGTATTTTATATTATGACGTTTAAACAACAACGGTACAGTCGGCCGGAAACTGTCAAGCGAAGCGTGATTCCACGTAAATTTCGTCGACTTTCGGCTCTTGGTAGCACTATATAAAATATTATATTTATGTTTTCTGCAAATATTTCCACAGACAATGTCTTTATCTGTCCTTTGATGTATTATATAGACATTTATTACGAAAATTAACATAATTGCATAACAAATACTAAAAGCCGATGACATCGGCCCTTGGGTTTTTTCGTGTCTTGTTGCTAGGCCGATCTCATCGGCCCTCGGGTCTTTTCACGGCTAATTACAAAGCCGATCAGATCGGCCTGTGGGCATTTTAAAACCTATTGGCAGAGCCGATGTAATCGGCCCTTGGGACCCAAAGGGTTAAGCTATGTGGTAGTGTTGCGATCACCAAGGTCTAGACTGAAGATGGTAAACGTGTAAAATAGTTCTGGTCTAGACACTAGCGTGAAGGAAGGATAAATATAATGGTGTTATTAATGAATGGATTGATCTTCAGGTTTAACCCGTGGGAGAAAGAGTTTGACGGGCTGCATTCATCTCACCTGATACTTAACCTAGTGTCAGGTCAGTACCTCTGTCACAGCACCAGCACTGCTCCAGGCACCAATATTGTGGTGGAGGTGGAGCTTATAGGCATACCTGTGGACTGCAACAAGCAACGCACCAAGAACCCCACCAGGAACTATGTCAACCCAATCTTCAATGAAACTTTTTTCTTCAAGGTTATGTTTAGGTGAGTAGAAACGTAATTAATACCCAGTAATTAGCATTATAAAGTTTTTTTTCCAATAACTCAGTATTTTTTGTTTTTTTTTAATAACAATTCATTATCTATTTAACTGTAGTTAACTATTGGGTGTCAAGCCAGCTATCGCTTGTTTGGCTCTTGTTAACACTTAATATGGTAGCTCAGAGGTATTATTTTGGGTGATAGACCTGTTGCCTACACTATCACATTCCTACTCACTCTTGCATTACCCTTTTTTTGTCCTAAGATGCTATGCTTTAGCCTGGGATCATATTTCACATAGCTTCATAAGCCTAGGGGTTGGATTACCACTTAGATAAAATGCATTGGTGATCTGGTGGGATTTGAACCTGGGACCTCTGGCACCTAAGTACCACCCTTTACTAGACTAGACCAACTACCCTTTACTAGCTTGCTCCCTAGATATATTGGACGTTACCTTCAGTATCCAATAGTCATCAATGACGTTACCCGTATTAGAGCATCCACTCTATAGCTCAAAATGCCCTTTTAAATTTGACTTTATTCAATTTTATTTGAGCCCATGTATTATACTTCCATTAGCAACAGTGCTCGTTGTGGTTAAATACAACGGCCTCTTAGTAAAATAATGGTTATGAAATCCATACACCACTTTGCTCACTAATATTAATGATACAGATTAAGCACATAAGATTAGAATCACACACTTAACATAAGGAACACACCTAAAACACAAATGCAAATTGTTAACAACAACATTTAATCAGAGGAAATCAACTAAATAACAATACAAAGGAAATTGACAGGAAAGCAGGCTTACCTTTAAATAAATCCATAGAGACACATAACACATCACAAAATTAAAAGTAGAAATTTTCGTGGTCACTGACCACTTTTTCAACCACTGGAGATTGGAGAAAACTGGAGAGATTGGAAACTCGAAAATTTCTACTTTTAATTTTGTGATGTGTTATGTGTCTCTATGGACTTATTTAAAGGTAAGCCTGCTTTCCTGTCAATTTCCTTAATAATTCCTGGCAAATGCCCTATCTTTTTATAAGATAACCTTAAATAACAATACAGTATCTATTATGCTATTAAAGTGATACAATCAAATTTTATGTAAACGGTTAAGGCCATTTACCAAATAAAAATATAGGCATATGGCACATCAAAATAGAGCTTAGAATGTGTAGATTTGCCTAAAATTATTGGTATGGACATACTTCTCAGGGGCTCTGCCCCATAGGCCGATTTCCAAAAGGCTACGTTTGTTATGCTTCCAAAGTTTAAATAATTTAATTTATTTAATGAAACAGCTGGGCAATGCAATTAATTGATGTTTGTTTATTTACTCAATAAAAGATGTTTGTGATGCTAAGAAATATGTGCATTATTTAGAGGTTTATGTTCGGGCAAAGATGTTTAAATCAGTCTTTTCAATTATTATCTCATTTTTTCAAGTTAAATCATCCAGTTGCTGTATTTTTAAACACACATCAGCAACAGTTATAGAAGTCTAGGTCACATGTTCTTCGCGTTGCAAAGCACGGGTTTAGCAGCTTGTGACTATATAAGCTGTCAAATTATTAACACATGTTTCGTATGATTAGACTATGCATACTGGTAAACCAATTATTGCCATCTATAAAAATTATTGGTTTTTCTCTTCCGAGTCGGGTTAAAGGTCTTCTACCCGACCGATTTTCATAATTTTGGCCTTAAACTAAAGGTATGGACGCACCACAGATTTGCCATCAAGCATCGGCATTCATTTTGACGTATATTTCGAGCTATGCAAGCACATATTTGTCATCAAGCATCATTATTAATTTATCTAATGTGTTACTCAACAAAAAAATATAAATTAGATTTTTTTACTTCAACTTCAACTTCAAGATATATTCTAGCAGTTCTAATTTCATTACCGCTACCCTATATGTTTTGGTCTAAAAACCTTTAGTGAAATACCAGCTTACATTTGAGCTATTGATTATTAAGATTCCAATCTTAATAATCCTACCTAAAGCACACTGCTGAATCACGAATCAACAATAATTATAATCGTTTTAGTACTTAACTGCAATCAATGATACGTAACTCAAATTTAATTTAAGTTATTTCATATGTCTTGGTCTTAAAATACTTCAAGGGCTTTCACTTGAGATATTGATATTTTTAATAAGTTAAGTTAAAGATATACTCTATTGCTCAATCAGAAAACATAAATTTAATTATATCTTGGATATGGAATTTAGTTTTAAATATATTTACTCAATTCTAATTATGTTATTCTATTTGTTTTAACCTGAGAACCTTCAGTGAAATTCCAGCTTCCATTTAAATTGTTGATTATTAAGATTGGACGTACCTAAAGCACACTGCTAAATCACAAACAACCCATATTTTTCAAAAAATTTAGTTTTTTATCATCGATTTCTAGTCAAACGGTCTTGCTTGCAACCTCAACAGCAACTGTCAGACTTTGACGGGTTTCACTAAGTAAATATTTAAAAAACCAAACTTTCATAATTATTTGCAAATCTACATGAATTAGGCTTTCCAATAACCTGTTAATTAATAAAATCGGTTAAGTAGAACTGTAGATTTAATTGTACAAAGTTTAACAACAAAATCTTTAGTTCAGTGTTTTCTCACTATTATAAATTTGGAGGTTGCTTAACGTTTTTGCAAATAACTTTAAAATTGTGAGGAAATCAGCCAAAGTGGAAGGTGATATTCTGATAGAGAATAAAATTTCCAACAGATTACCATTATGTACTTCTGGAAAATACTGAATAAAGGCAGCCTAAAGTTGGCTACAAATATAAACTTGGAAATATAAACTTGGTAAAAAGCGTTTTAAATGTATTATTTTTTATTTTTATTGTTTTACCTCAAATATCTAATAAAATCAAACTTTCATAATTATTTGCAAATCTACACGAATTAGGCTTTCCAACGACCCATTAAGTAACAAAATCGGTCTGGTTAGTTGTACAAAGTTTAACAAAAATATATCTAATTCAGTATTTTATCACCACTATAAATTTGGAGATCACTTAGCTTATTGCCAATAACTTTTAAATGGAGGAGAAATCGACCAAAGTGGATGTGATTTTCTGAAAGAGAATAAAATTTACTACAAATAACTTCTATGCATTTATTTAAAATGCTTAATAAAGGCAGCAAAAAGCTGGCTACAATTAGAAACTTGAAAACAGAAACTTGAAAAAGCAGTTTTTAATGTATTTTTTGTTATTTTTACTTTTTTACCCCAAAGATTTTATAAAATCACACTTTCATAGTTATTTGCAAATCTACATGAGTTGGGCTTCCTAATGACCCATTAAATAACAAAATCGGTCCAGTAGAAGTCTAGATTTAGTTGTACAAAGTTTAACAAAAATATCCCTTACTCAGTATTTTCTCATTACGATAAATTTAGAGGCTGCTTAGCTTTTTTGCAAATAACTTTTAAATGGTGAGGAAATCGACCAAAGTGGAAGGTGATATTCTGAAAGAAAATAAAATTTCCTACAAATTGATACCATACACTTCTTGGAAACACTCAAAAAAGGCTGTCAAAAGTCTCACCCAAATAAAAAGTGTGAAAAACACAGTTTTCAATGTATTTCTTATGGAAAACATGTTTTTATTACATTTTTCACTATAAATCATATCAAAAACAAACTTTCATAATTATTTGCAAATCTACACGAATTAAACTTTCCAACGACCTATTAATTAATAAAATCGGTCCAGTAGAACTCAAGATTTAGTTGTACAAAGATTTTTAAAACTGAATTTTATAGATAAGTAAAAGATGCTACTATGTAATTCTTTATTACTTGTCTGCAGAGATTTGGCATTTCTGAGGTTCAATGTGTTGGACCAAAACACAAACCATGTGTTGACTCAGAGAGTGATGCCCCTCAAGTGCCTTCGTCCTGGTTACCGCCATGTCCGACTGCGGAACCTCCAGAACCAACCTTTGCCTCTCTCATCACTCTTCATCTGCTCCAGGACAGAGGAGGAGAGTCTAGATGGTTCACGAGAGCAGCGTGGCACTATTCAGGTACAAAGATAGCTTGATAGTTTCATTCTAGTAACTATATATTTACAAATTAACATCACTCTTAAATTTAATCTAAAAGAGTAAATGATTAATTTGTTAAATCATACAACATTAAAATCAATATTTTCTGTATAAATTTAATTTATAAATACTGTGAACCTGTGGGATTTTGCAATAGAGAGAGAATAGCATAAGCAATATGTAACTAGTATGTTTTCAAATTTAATTTGGAGTTAAGTTAATAGTATGCTGATGATTGACTATTATCACTTGTAACTACAGGAGGTGAGACCAGACTCAAGTGCTCGTCTGCCGGGAGTTAAGAGACGAATGTTCTTCCTGATGGTGTACGGGGTTGTACCTGATGAGCCCTATACCATTCTCAAAATCACACAGGAGAGTACGACACAAGAGGTAAGGAGAAAAAGTAAAATGTTTGTTTTTGAAAAATATGTATTACTCAATCCTAGAGTACCAGACAATCTAATTTATGTACCAAATTATTGCTATACCCTGAACACTAAGGAAATGCTGATGAAGGCCACAAAGGTTCACTCATACAGGCACATATCTCACTCATACAACCCCAGGAGATGGGGGCGCTTTGTATTTCCACTCTGCTGCCTTTTTACTGTGCTTACCCAAACAAATAATTATTTTTTTTTAATTTGTATCTTAGATTTATGTTTGTAGCACTCTTAAAAACATTAAAAAATCTCAATAAAACAATACCATCTTAAAATAATAAGAGTATTAAGATTATATAAAATAGATAGATTTTATAAATCATTTTTGTCATACTGCAGCAAAAACAGCCGTTTTTAATAAACGTGTTGCGGGTCTAAAGTAGCTCTTTTTCTCCCTAGAGCAAGGAGTAAAATCAGCTGTTGTATTGCACTAATTCATTCTCGCCATGATTGTTGTAGGTGATCCTGCAGGCCCTAGCCAAGGCTGGGGTGGGAGCAGAACGGGCAGGGGACTATGTGCTGGTAGAGGAGGTTGCTCGTGGCTGGGGAGGCAAAGAGAAGGACGTCCCTGCAAGCCAACGTGTGCTCGACCCTCAGGAGAGGCCACTGCAGGCTCAGGCCCAGTGGCAGGGTGTGGGCAAGTTTCTTTTAAAGCGTCTCGGAGATGACCCTAGCTCTCGAGCGTGGTTGTCCTCTATCCGTTCCACACGCAATGTAAAGCAAGCCCGCACTTGGGATGAGGCAGACAATTTCTTAGTTTGTGTCTACAACGTGTCTCCTGAGATTCCGTATGCCATTTTAAAAGTACCCCTGAGTGCGTGCGCTCAAGATGTTCTTGCACAAGCATTGGTGAAAGCGAGGCGGCTGGAAGACCCTGTTAAGTTTGTTTTAGTGGAAGAACTAGAGTGGCAAAGTGGGGGTGGTAGAGTGCAACGAGTTTTACCCGACGAAGAAAATATTTTTAGAACTCAGGCTCACTGGCAGACTATAGGTAGGTTCATTCTAAAAGAGAGAGAAGTGCGAAAGAGCGGTGCTTTACGACCGGCGTTGGACAGACTCAGTAAAGGTTTGAGTGCAACATTGAGTGACCCAACTACTACGGCCAAGTCCAAGTTTCCTTTGAGTGGACTCACACGTCGAGGGAGCCGAGAGCCTACCACAAGCCACCGAGAGGTCCACTCGGAGGGGGAGACACTCAGTGATGACGACGGGGATCTACTTACAGCCGTGGCCAGGTTAAAAAGGGTTTCTCTGAGAAAGCTCAAAGTCTGGAAGTCATGATTGTTAATAATCTGCTGCTTGTCTGGCTCTATCTAGTAACAAAGACAATACTGTTTGAGCCCTTGTTATCCCTAGTTTGTATCTCAAATTATTTAAGAAATGTTGTAAACTATTTTGAGAATAATCACCGACTCTAGTCATGATCAAACTCTCTGTGATACTATACGTACTAATAAAAATGTGAGAAGATTTTACTACATACTACTTTTTTATTTTAGTTTGAAAGGGTACTGCGCTTTAACTTCTGCTTTTTTTACCCTATGTTTTATACATATATATATATTGTTAATATACTAAATCGATTGTTGCAAAAATATTTTAACTCTTGTATTGAGATACTGGATATTAAGTTTTTAGATATTTATTTTTTGTTGATATTCAATGTACCGAAGTGGAATTGTTATGAAACTAGTCGGCTAGATTCAGTAAAGAGACTATTTATTTAAACTAAAATAATGCACAAACAAACACAATATCGAGTGACCAAATGTGTTTTTATAATTTCTCGTATCGAATTTAAAAACTTTCTATGAAATTAATTTATTTCTTATAACATTTTGTATATTGATGTTAGCATATGTACATAACTATTTGCAAACTCGTTACTCTAAAAGCTTTACCACATTGTTAACCACTCACATATCCTTGTTAGTATGGTAAGCACATCATGCCTTGTCGACTATCTGGCCCTAGCCTGCCTGACCAATCTCTCTTTACATTAAAGCTGATAATTTTGTTTTATTATTGACTTTTTATTTCCCCTGGTTACATAATTTTTCCCTAGTCTAACCTAGATAAAGAGAAGTAGACAAATTATCTTCTTTCTAAATACAATCTTTTATTTAAAAAATCATATATATTAAAACGTGACAGGGTTTTTTTATTTTACGATTCTAAATCAACCACTTGACGGATCTTTATGATTTTTGTGTCGAAAGAAAGATCATTTTAAATACTAGTGGATGTCGCAGCCATAATTTTAGTTTAGATGAGTTTTAGTTTTTAGAAATTAAGTTACAAATTTTAAAAAGTCTAGCAGCCGTCGCTAACATTCTAGACTAGCTTTTGGTATAATAACATTTGCTTAACGTAACATCTGTAAACATTCAGCATTTATGACAAAAACTCCGCTTTTGGATAAAAATAAAATGACATATGGAGGGTTGACTTATTACTATGTGTAATGCTTCAATCATTTTTTTTTTTTTTAACATAGTTTTATTTACAATCTGTTTTGCATTAAACAATAAGTAAATATGATGGCATTTTTAACAATAAAATAAAAATTGGAAAGCTTGAGTTAGCAGCTAAACAGCTTTAGCACTAACAAAAAAAAAACAAAGAAAATAAATTTCAGAGCTGCTGTAAAAATCGAGTCGGAAGGTCTAAAACATTTTCTCTTTTTAGTCTGTAGACATGTTGACTGTTGTCTAGGAGGTTGAGGGCCAAATGGTTTGGATGATACTCAAGCTTAGAGAAGTATTTTTTACTGCAGCTCGTAACTTCTTCAGTAACAAATGGAATTTTGCAATCATTGTGAATGGTGACGTTGGATACATACCAAGGGGCTTTCAGGATGGTTCTTAGTAATTTTGACTGAAATCTTTGTATATATCCAAGTTTGATTTTAAAGCTGTTCCCCACAAAGAAATGCCATATGTCCAAATTGGTTTGAGAACAACCTTATAAAGCAATAATTTATTTTCTATTGACAGTTTTGGATTTTTATTCATGAGCCATGCCATTTGTTGAAACTTTGAATTAAGATGTGATTTCGATTTGTTCCAAATATGGCTTTGCCAGGTAAGTTTTCAGTCGAGGTGGATGCCCAAATATTTTACTTCATTGTGGTGAGGCAGAAGTACGTTATTTTAAGTGGACTGGGGGACAGTTAGCTGTTCTGGTGATGAATGTTATGTTATGCTTCAATCATTGATACGTTCATTTATTCGGATAGAGGACGATCATTTAAATATACAGTAGAACCTCTTTAATCCGAACCCCTGTAATCTTACTTACTTACATACTTACTTACTCCTTCTTCATCTTTTACCCAAAATAGGGATAGATTGCGTCTCGTCAAAAATAAATAAAACATTTCTTATACACGCACAAAAGAAAAGAAAAAAATTCTTCACAACGTTTACAACAGTTAAATGTATAAAACAATACATATACATATATACAAGTTAAAAAAAAAAAAAAACTTCCAGGGATGATGGAAAGATGGCTACCGTATGTTTGCTATCTCCTTATCGGTCATGAACTCTGAGATGCTATAGTAGGCTCTCTCTTTCATTAGCGACATAAATGAATTCGAACGTCCACTAATCCGAACGCCTCAGTGCTGTACTCTATACACAGTACAGTAGTTTTTTATTGTATGTATAGGCCTACTGTATTTATTGATATATGCACCGTAGTTATTTCAATTGTAATGTATAGTAGGCCTACTGTTTATTCCTTATGTTTACTACTGTATTAAATAAACACTGTATTTTACTTTATAAAGCATTTTTCACTTTTCCCTAGCTTTGTTATGTAAAAACAACAATATGTTCTGTAATCCGAACTATTCAATAATCCGAACTACTCCCGGTCCCAATTAGTTTGGATTAAAGAGGTTCTACTGTACATAGTTAAATGCTAGGTGTTCTAATTTATTATTTAGAGCACAGTGGCGGCGATAATAACCCGCGGGCCACCCCCCCCACCCCGCAAGTTTGTTCGCCGGGCCCCCCTCTCCCAATGATCTTTGAAAACATTTTTCCATGTATTACCGCCTAAACTTGCAATTTTGCAATAAACTTGACAAGGCATCTCCCGAGGCGTCATTATGGTCTTCCATGATCGCGGCAAAATCGTCAATACTTCCCGTAGTCATAAGTCATGGAAGAAACATTAAGTTATCATAGTTTACCGTGATTGCAAATGCAACCAAACCTATGACATCATTAGATAGCAGCATCATCGTCTAATCTAATATTACGGCCTAATATCTCCCCGCGACCCGGTGGTGACGGGTAAATCATTTATCAGTAATCGCGGCTAAATCCTAGATATATCTCTCGCTAAAAAAGAAACGTCATTATCGTCTTCCGCAGCCGCTGTAAAATATTGAACATCTGCGGCCATGGAGACAACGTCATCGTCACCCGCGGGGAAATGTTCTAGTCAATATCCGCGATCGCGGCAAAAGCGTAGGCCTAATCTTTCAATTTTGTGAGCGTGATCCTCACGGATATAAAAGCTTTTACTTTTAATTGTGCATTATTGTATCGAATACTGAGAAAATCGGCTCGACAGTCGGTTTTTGCTCGGAACGGGAACATGTCACCCGTTAGTACGACAGGCCTGTTCGGTTTTTGTTAATATTTTAAATGTATCGTATTGTTCGTATGTGTTACGTGTTTAAACTTCAACGACGCTACTTCAGCCGAGTTTTTGTTTTTGTAGTCTGACGATGGCATTGTAATGCCAAAACGGCCGTAACGTAGTTACACCTCAAGAATTTGAGCTGCAGTGACGAAGGTAAAGCCTATTTTTAGTTAATCTAATCGTCATAAGCAGTTCCCACACTGTGGACTGCTTGCCTTTACTACTTCCTTCACCACTTCCTACGTCACGGACCTGTTTTCCTCTCTTCCCATAGCATTTTAGGATTGCAGATACCTTAATCTAATCGTCATAAACAGTTCTCACACTCCGGACTGCTCGCCTTTACTACTTCCTTTACCACTTCATGCGTCGCGGACCTGTATCCCTCTCTTCCCATAGCATTTTAGGATTGCAGATACCTTAATGTAATTGTCATAAAAAGTTCCCACACTCCGGACTGCTTGCCTTACTACTTCCTTCATCACTTCCTACGTCGGGGACCTGTTTCCCTCCCTTCCCATAGTATTATAGGATTGCAGATACCTTAATATAATCGTCATAAACAGTTCCCACACTCTAGACAGCTCGCCTTGACTACTTTTTTAACCACTTCCTACGCCGTGGACCTGTTTTCCTCCCTTCCCATAACATTTTAGGATTGCAGATACCTAAATCTATTCGTCATAAAGAGTTCCCACACTCCGGACTGCTCGCATTTAATAATTCCTTCATCACTTCCTACGTCACGGAACTGTTTCCCTCCCTTCCCATAGCATTTTAGGATTGTAGATACCAATAATCTAATCGTCATAAACAGTTCCCACACTCCAGACTGTTCGCCTTTACTACTTCCTTCGCCACTTCCTATGTCGTTTGCCTCCCTTCCCAAACTTCCCATAGCATTTTAGGATTGCAGATACCTTAATCTAATCATCATAAACAGTCCCCACACTCCAGACTGCTCACCTTTACTACCGGTACATCCTTCATCACTTCCTATGTCACGGACCTGTTTCCCTCCCTTTCCATAGCATTTTTGAATTGCAGATATCTTTATCTAATCGTCATAAACAGTTCCCACACTTCGGACTGCTCGCCTTAACTGAGTGAAAAGTTTGAAACGTACGTTTACATGTCCCTGGCCTTTTACTTCGTAGATACTGGATTTGTAGTTTATTATTATGTGTTTTAATTTTTTTTTTTTTTTTGGGACGGGGGCAACATGTTACACACATTTATTTGGTTTTAAATAGATTCTAGGTATTTTTTTCGTATTTTTAAAGTCTCAAAATTCACGACCATGACGTGTCCCTAGGGTACATTTTCCAACTTTCACGCTGTTTTTAGACTAATTATTCATGCCAAAATATATAAAGCCATATTTTTATGTCATCAATAGTTATTAAACTTACAAAAAAGGAGCATATAATAATTTTATTGTCATTGCAAACTGACTACCGTGACAAAATAAGTCTGTCCCTCAATTTGGCATCACGACCATTTGGGAAAAATTTTGGAGCTTGACAGTGGCAGGCCTGGCGTCGATTGCGTCAGTTAGTTTTAGAGACTAGTTCGGGGTATAGTCAAGTTTGTTGTGCCCGTCGTTTTGTGTTGAAAGAAGTAGTTACAAGATTAATAAAGGTAAGTTTGTGTTTTTTGTAATTTTGGTGTGTCCATGACCGTACGTAGTCAGTCATTTGATGAAGTAGACGTGGTGTTAATGTTTGTTGATATGATATTTCAATTGCTACATTAACCTTAACATTAAGGACCTTAACATGCTACATTAACATTAAGGAGAAGTGGCTTGCAGCGGCTAGAAGAACACGGGATCTCAACTCAACGGACATTTCTCCGAATCTAACACCTAACAACGTATTCGTAAACGAACATCTGACTGCGCATAACAAACGACTCCTGGGCCAGGCACGTGCGATGCAACGAAGCGGGACCATCCACTTAGCTGGTTACTTCAAACGGAAAGATACTGATCAAGTTGGGAGAGAAGGATGAAGCTGTCAGGATCTGGCGCAAAGATGAAGACCTGGACAAGTACAAAAGTGAATAGGCAGGTATTTTTGATCATCGTAAATTGTACTTGAATATAGGGTATCATATCTATTTTTTCATAATGATCTGAATTCAATTTTATTTTAGTTCAGTTAGTAAATGATATTTATTTCTTATTATTAACTTTACAACATTTTGGTTAAAGTGATTTAAGTTAAAGCTTCTTGGTTTGTCTGTAATTCAATTAATATGACACATACCTTATATATGTGTATATGAGTAGATATATTCATGTCACTTCTGGGCCAAAAAAGGAGCCACTCAAAAATTAAATGAATTTTCCTATTTTTTTA